CATAAGCAGGATCACTTCAGCTGCGCTCGTTGTACCTTAGTTGCCCAGAAGTGGAAAGACATCCGCCTTCACCGCTGTACAGGTCCCGAGAGCCGTCAGAAGGTCATGCAGAGTCCTTCGCGCCGGGGGTTTTGGAAGCGCAAGCGCCAACTCAATCCTGATGTTGTTTCATTTTTGATAGAAAATTGGCAAATGACTGAACCTGAGTTGATGTCTCTTGAGAAAACGTTGGACGCCAAGAAAGCCAAAAAGGGTTTTTGTCCTCCACCCAATAGTGTTTCCCTCCGTCGCTTGTGCGCGCCGGCTTCCGAGTGGATTAAAGACCTTACAGCCGATGGGGACGTACATCCCCAGCCAGGGCCACAAGCCACTCGCGGTCCTCAAAGCATGTCTATTGCCATGATTAATGCTGATGGAGCAAACAATGCATGGGCTGTGTGCCGATGGGCTGTTGTTCACCGGCCGTCCGTAGTCATCATGCAAGAGATTTGTATGCCGCCTGACAAGCAAAGTGACATTGCCCAGTTTCTGTCCAGGCACGGCTATAGAAGCTGGTTCGCTGTTCCCCAACCGGTCCTTTCTCGTAGTGGTTGCGCACAAACCTTTGGGGGGGTCGCTATCCTCGTCCGCCACGACAAGCCTGCCCACTTGGTGCAAACCCACATTCGACCAGATGGGCAAGCCCTGATGTTGCAACTTGCTCATGCCTTGGTGGTTGGTGTCTACTTAGCTCCCAGGTCCATGAACAGTGATATCCTGCCCACTCTAGACGAGTGGGCTGCTGCTGCAAAAGCTCGCTGCCCTATTTGTTATTTCGGTGATTTTAACCAGTTGCCGTCTTTTGGACAGCGATGGAGTGACCTGCACGGCTTTGGCGCAGTGAGAGCAGTACATAACTCGGAGGGTCAAGAATGCCCCACGCGATGGGACGGTCAGAGATGCATTGACTGGATCTGGACCTCGCATCCCCTGATGCTTCACAACCTAGGTTTTGAAGCTACAAAGTTCTCTGATCACAAAATGATCCAATGTTCTTTGAGCTACCAACAGGAAACTGTCCAGTCCTTCAAAGTTATCCAAACCCGTAAACTTGCACCATCCCCTGAGGTGACCAGAGAGATGTGGCAAACTGCACTCAAAGAAGTCTGGGCTTCAGCTTCAGTGCCCCCCCAGCACGAGCACTGACGAGGAATGGGAGGCTTTCTGCACTTTAGCTGAAAATGCACAAGTGAACGCAATGCTTGCGTGTGGATGTAAAATTCCCAAGCCCAAACACAAGCGACCTAAGGGCACAGACATCCAGGTGCAACCTGCTGAGTCAAAATCCTTTCGGTGGACACAAGAAGCCAGTTTTCGAGAGCTTCGCCTCCGCAAGCTGCTTGGCCGCGCCACTGAAGCGCTGTCGCAAGTTCAAAAAGGCAAATCAGCCCCTCACCGCCTCCAGCAGCGCATCTGGACGCATGTGTGGGTTTGCAAGAATAAGTTTCAGACTTTACAACAAATCCAAACTTGGTGCCAGAGTGAGCTTCAAATTTGCTTAAAAGAGGCACAGCAACAGCGGCTGACTCACTGGAGAGATAATATGCGTTCCACGGTCAAAAATGCAAGCAAGTGGATTAAAAAGACCAATTGTTTGCCTGTCACCTCAGTTTTCGATCCTGGCTTTCGCAACGGGGCTGCAACAGCCACGAGCCAGGAGTCCTTGGAAGCCGTTTTGGCATTTTGGCAAACTGTTTGGAACAGGGACAGGCCTGATCCTGAAGAAGCCTTTGAGTTTTGGCACGAAGGCATGCCTCCGTCTCAGTCATTTGCTTGGACGCCCATCGCCGCTGAGGAACTCCTCACCCAAGCCAAAAGACAAGATGGCAGTGCCGCTGGCGTTGATGGCTGGAGCGGCAGTGAAATTTCCAGCTGGCCACTCGAAGCTTGGAACATTTTTGCCGTTTTGTTGTCTCGGTGGTTTGCCCGCCAAGAAATGCCTCGTTGCTTTAGTAAGGTGCGACAATGTTTGCTCCAAAAACCAAATGCAAAACTTCGATCCACAGATGGCGCCATCGGTGCAAAAGACTTGAGACCGATTTCAGTGCAGTCCTGCTTGTGGCGAGTGGTCGCCTCGGCATGGACTCGACGTCCAGAAACCCGTGCATGGGTCAAATCCTGGGCCCATAGGACGGCGTGTGGAGGCTTGGAAGGCAGAGGTGTGGCCGAGGCTATCGACACTTTGCTGCAAGAGTTCGAAAAGCCAAACGGCGGAGTGCTGGTAAGCCTTGATTATGCTAAGTGCTTCGACACCATTAACCCTGCATTTGCTTTGCGGTGTCTCGAACACGTTGGCTGTCCAAAGGAAATTTTGGCCGCCTTGCAAATGGTCTGGAAGCAAGAACGGTGGCTTTGTTTTCAGGGCAACATTTTGCCCAAATCAGTCGACGTCTCCACGTCCATTCCCCAGGGAGACGCCCTTTCCCCTCTGACTTTGCTGGCCGTGATGGCTGGATTGACTGGTCGAGTGCTGCAAAAAGAGGGAAACCACACACTGGTGACATTTCTAGACGATCGGAACTTCGTGACCAAAACCCCTGAGCGAGCCGCTCAGCTGTGGGAGACTTGGAAAGACATGTCAGCCAAAGTCGGTCTGCAAGAAAATAATTCTAAGGTTCAAGTAGTTCCTCGCAAGGCTGCCTTCCGGACTCGCCTTGAGCAGGCGGGGTTTCCCACCAATAGCATCGTACCCTCTGCGCGAGTGCTCGGAGTGGACTTCACTGCCCGCCTTGGGGCAGTCCATCGACCTACCCAAGACCAACGTGTCAGTGATGCTGCTCAGAGGATCGCCCGCATCGATCTGTTGCCTTTACCTTATGAGCGTAAAGCCTTCCTAATCAAGTGTGTTGCAATCCCCAAGGCTATCTGGGGGGCATGGAACTCCACAGTTCCTTGTAAAAAGCTCTCCCTCCGCCTTAAGAAAGCTGCCGGTGGAGGCCATGTTGCGGCTGCAAACAATCTTTTTTCCATGTTGACTGGACACGGACTCAGCACCGAATTTTGCGCGGGTTTTCATGCCTTTTTGCATTTAGCTAAACAAGTCAGGAAATCCCCGAGGCCTTGGCCTCGCAAAGCCAGCAGAGGAACCTGGTTGGGCACCGTGAGACGGTGGCTTTCTTCGCTTGGATGGCACGAGCAAGGAGCATGGAAATGGTTCCATCCTTCTGTTAATCACACGATTGATTTTGATGCACAGGTCCAAACCAACGATAAGCTCGAGCATCACCAGCTCCGAGAAAGCTGGAGACGCAGACAGTTTCGTTTGTTTCTTGCCACTCCCAGGCGAGATGCTCAAATGCTTCAAGAAGCTCAATACAATGAAGCTCGGGTCACCCTTGCTCGTAAGACGTTCCAAGGGTCCAACACTCACGCCAGAGCGTGCATGATGGGCGCGGTCGTGTCCGACGCTCGTTTCGCTCGCATTTCGAACCCACAGGCACCTGTGCTTCCTTGCCAATGGTGTTCTTCGGAAGCCGCGCCCACGTGGCGCCACATGTGTTGGGAATGTGAAGGTTTCTCAAATACCAGAACCTTCGAGCCCAGTGATCTCTTTCAGCAAATTCTGGGATGGCCCATGGGCATAAACCACGAATACGATGCCGCTGTGCTAGCACATTTGGCCGATGTGCGCAGACGTCTGCTTGACCGGCGCTATCGCGCCATCTAGCGCATACCTGTGGCGTCGCTAAGGTGGATGGGTCTACTTGGCCGTCTACCTTGTCAAACCAAGCCCTTTGCTGCCCTCATTGGTGACGGAACAGTTGTCACGTGGGGCGCTGAAAGTTACGGTGGCGACAGCAGCCAAGTGCATGATCAATTGAACAATGTGCAACACATTTATGCAACAGGTGGGGCTTATGCCGCCATCCTCAGTGACGGAAGAGTTGTTACCTGGGGTGCAGCCGGCTTTGGTGGTGACAGCAGCGGTGTCCAAGATCAACTGAAGAACGTGCAGAAAGTATTGACAAGCCATTCTGAGTTCTTTGCAATCCTCAGCGATGGAACATGTGTTTCATGGGGGTACAAATCCCCACCAGTCACTATTTGTAATCAACTTAGGCACGTGCGGAAAGTTTGTCGCACCCATGCCGCTTGTGCTGCGCTCCTTGCTGATGGAACGGTCGCTACGTGGGGCCCTTTGACACATGGCGGCGACAGCAGCAAGGTTCAGGATCGTTTGAGAGACGTGCGCGAGATTGTCGGAACACGAAGTGCTTTTGCTGCTCTCCTTGGTGATGGAAGAGTTCTGACATGGGGCGATCCGAAGAGTGGTGGCAACAGCGATGGTGTTCAACATCGTTTGAGACATGTCCAGGAGATTCATTCGACGGGCTGGGCGTTTATCGCAGTCCTCGCGGACGGGACAGTTGTTTCATGGGGCCATCCAAATGCTGGTGGTGATAGCCGGGCGGTCCAACAGGAGCTTGAGTGGCTGTCGTGAAAATTGATGGGGCAGCAATCAGTTCTTGCAGGTTCTTGAACGAATCTCGCAGGTGGAGGCTTTGTTGGATCTCCAGAAAACACCTTGTTCGAACTGACAAGCTCTCGATACTTAGAAAATTACGCAATCGCTTGAATTATATGGCTGCGTCTTGCTGCACGATAGAGTAGGAGTCCTACAGTAGAACCTATGGTAGGACATCTTCATTTGAGGTCATACTTCTGTGTTGAAACTCTTGGTGCTGAAGTGAGTCAGGCATTCTACACTGATCACCAATAAGAAAGAACAAAGTTATGGGTCGACCCGCCCGATCACTGTACAGCAAGGGAGAATCGACCCAAACGCCGAAACACTATGGCTGTCAGCTTAGAAGATTCCTGTTTGACCAGGTTTCGACCAATATCATATCATATCATATCATTCACCGAAGATTCGTTGCAGGCTCAGTCCGCCTCTCAGTCTCCACATGGTTCACACGGTCCATACGCGCGCGCGCGCGCCCACCTGTGCTCGCTGCGAGGTGAGTGGCACCACTGGCGCACCGGGCTCGAATGCTTCGGTGCACCTCCATTCGGGCGAGGAGACGGAGTCGAAGAATGTCGAGGTGGATGGAACAATGAATTTTACCTTTCCTACGGGCACTCAAATTTCCATTCGCTAACTGATCTAACTGACTCGTACGGCAGTCCAGCTTTTATCCATGCCATGGTTTGAGCCCCTTTTGGCCTTTGATTGTGCGAAACTGCAAAGCGGATGAGATTGGATCGCAGTTTAGCACAGTTAGCCAGTTGGTCCAGACTCTGAATCGCCCAGTTACCAGTTGCAGAGAGCTGTCAACAGCAGCCTCTCTCCCTACCTCCCGCAGGAGGTGCCGATTGATTGCCAGTGGGCCGACTGGCACGAGTGGGAGGCTGACCTTGCGATGAGCGTTCCCATGAGCGACGACTCTATAAACTTCCCTGTTCAAGTGGTGGGCTTGTCCTATGTTCAGAGGCAAGCAAACACATGGTAAGGTTGCATAAGTTCATTATGGATTTTGGTGGGAGATGGGCGTTGCACAAGCTGCAGAAGCAAACCCAAGTTTCAGCGTACACATCATGTCACATTTGCACTCTAGACAAACTTCATATACCATCGAAACATGCAGAGTGTGTTTCTGACTAGCTGCTTGAACATCTTTAGAAGAACAGAACTGAAGAACAATGAATGAATTTGAGGGCGTTGGTGTTGGAAATCCGCGTATGTGCTGTGTAAGCTCCGTGTAAGGCTTTTTTGCTTTGGAAGACCGGAAAGCCCTCCCAAAAAAGTTTTCTGAACTCAATGGCGCTCAGGAAGATGCAACGAACATTACGCCTGCACATAGATGACTGCAGTACTCATACTGCTGGAACAAGAGATGGTTTGCTTTGTTGCTTTTGCCACTCACCGACTGATGATTGTGAGACTGCGAGAAGTCTTGACCCGTCTCGGCTCACCTCCATGAATCAACTGGAATCACTTGATTCTTAGGTCTGTCCCATTACCTGCAACAGTCGGTACACAGTTATCACTATTTTAGAGAAAGGCCTTTACTAGTCATCATCATCCACTGTTTTCAGGGAATGGGACATACCCAACTTGATTCCACTTCAGAAATGTCAAGGTCAAGGACATCGTCTGCATGTGTTTGGGAGGACCGCTATATATAATGTATAAGAACTATACTGCAATTCGGTACAAAGTACCAGCACTTTTAACACAAGAAACACAGACCTGTTGCGGAGGCGTGCACCAAAAGCTGCAACAAGGGGATCACTCATCGCACCCGCCGCTTGGAGAGATTACGTGGAAGCAGTCCTGACGGTCCAGAGAAACACGTGTGCAGTCCGGGTGAGGAACGGTCAAAATGCTCGATGTTTCCAGATCTTTCCTATGGTCTTGATCAGAGAAGTGGGCTGCAATTGAAAGTGTATCTCAGTGATGTCAGCTGTCAACTGGCTCTCTTGCACTGATTACCAGAAAAATGGGCGTCTTCCCACCCTCCCTCTTGCGACACCGAAGAAGACCGTCCGCCTCTTGCGACGGTGTCTTCGGAACCGCCTCTTGCGCGCGTCCGCCCAGGAGACATCCTCCGCCCGGCCAACTCCTTGGGAGCGGAATGTTTGGGTGAGACCCGACAAACGGCCAACTGCCATGCCTTTTGGCGAAGAGTGGATGAGGGACAGGGACAGCTGGTGGATGAGGTGAACTAGATGCACCGGAGAGAAGCTGAAAAGAACCGGAGAGCTTTCCTCAACAGGACTTTGGTGAGTGAAGACCTGGCACCAGGGCATGTCATTACACACCTTGAACTGCGGGATCAGTGCCGTCCACGGAACCGGCTGCGTGAAGGCTTTTGAAGGGACAGGCGTATGAAATGTGGGACGAGTTGTGCGGTGAGGAGGAAGTCCCCGAGCTTTTTTGCGGGTTCAAAAACACCCACAACATCCCATAATTCACAAAGGTGGAATCTGGAAGTTATTGAAATATGCTGGATGACAGTGGATGTTCCACTTTACTATGGGTCCTCACTCAAAGTGGTTTTGACATGATTTGACCATGTTTGATCCATACCTTATTTATCTACACTCCCTGACACAATCATGGAAGTGGACAGTTGCCCGTTGGATGATGACGAACTCCTCTACAAACAGGGAGTGCCATCCACTTCCTGTTTCAGGGAGGGTGCCATACCCTATACCGCCGTATACCCATAGCATCCCATATCGAGATTGTGGTAGGTTCCGACCCACCCATTTCACTTCGCTCAGGAAGAGCCATGCCCCTGTGATTTGGGGCCCTGGTCAGACTGGAGCAACTGCGCCGGTGACTGTGCCGGCGGGGGACACGGGACACGGCCGAGCGGTCAGAGGGTGGACATGGGCTTCAGGGTTTCCCCATTTAATCCATTCCCAGGGAAACCACCGCAATCCAGCAGATCCAATACAGTTAGGTACTTGTAGCCGACATGCCCGGGATCAAGAGGCTTTGGGGAAAGCATCTTGCTAGATTATGTTGGTTTTTGGAAGTGCAAGTGCCGCTACAGGGAATTCCTACGGATCCTAAAGTCATTTGGGATGTCCTGGCCTATTGAATGGTGGGCACAACATAATGCTTGGTATACCTGTTCAATACAGGCAGTTTCTATGTCGAGTCAAATCTGTGCAGATTGTACGCTTGATATATTTCAGCGACCCTGCATGCACTTTAAACTCGAAAGCAGCCTCAAAAGAATTCAAAAGAAACTGAAGCTACCAAGCACAGCCTCGAAAGCCAGGTCCCCTCACATTTGCAAGTGGTTCTTTGAGATTGATGACCACTCGGTTCCCACCTGCGATTTGGCCGAACTTCACCACCTGGTGGGTCTTTTAGTGGGTCTAGGGGAGGCCAAGCAGACCGTGCTGTACGGACGCGTGAAGTGCTGGAGAAGGGGAATCAAAGTCGGCTGCCCCAGAGAAGCCAAAGGTCGAAGAGGAGTTGCAGAGCGACCAGAGCGAGCCGGTTTTAGCTCTTCTTGGACATAGGAAGTTGATGGGATGGCGGGTATGAGCTTCATCCCTTCGAACTTGAGGGATTCTACAATACCCAGAATGGACAGATCAAAGGTCAGTGCATCAATCCAGATCAATCCAGGGAATCCAGTGTGCCTTGCTCATTGCCAGTCAAACACTTTGGATTGACGAATGTGCAGTTAAGTTTCCCGTAGTTTCCCTAAACACCTAGGAACCAATCATTAGTGCAAGCGTGAGCTATCCTGCGTCCTAGCTAGGAGCTTCCTATTGCTAGTCGCTTGCCTCCTTACATCTCCTTACTTAAGTTAAGTAGGCGCCTACTTAATCAACTAGGAACGGGCCAAAAAAAAGTAAGACACACCGTTTAAATATGAACTTCCATCACCCGTCAGAGCGCAATCCGAGCACAACATGGAACCGCACCTCTTTGGTGTCCGGTCCAGGAGTCAGTCTTCTGTCAGTGCAAGAGAGGTGACAACCAAGAGCTGACGAAGCTCGTGACGAATAAAACCTCAATTCGTTTTCCAGATCAGGGCTGCCAACGGATTTGCCGTCCAGATCCATCGGCTCTCGGCAGTATTTTCGCTGGGGCCCTTTTCCAACGTGGACCGTCGAAGTTTCTGCCAGGTCATTGCATTGAAGTTCTTGAGCAGGAGAAGGCGCGTTGTGAGATGGGCCGAGAATGAACATGATGTAGACCGTTAGAAGCTCAATGACTCAATGAGCTTGAACAGGAGTTCAGGTCACGCGCTGCTGAATGGTGAAAAGATACAGTCATTTGTCATGTCTTCCATTCCTTGTCCTGCACCGTGGTGGAACGGTTCATTTTCACCCGCCATTTCATCCATCGCGTCTTCGTCTCACTCGGTCCGAGGCCTGCGCTTGCACTCAACCGTCGGCAGACGGTGACGACGACACGATGACTGCAGCAGACGCACGGCGGGATGAGCGGGATGGGATGGGCAGCCCCGCCTTTCGGAGGGGTGTGTTCCATATGATTCCATGGATTCCTTTGGAGGCATTGAAGACAAGCAATGACCATTATGATAGCATATGAATGCATATAGAGCTGTACGTGCACGTGCACTGCTACACCAAAGTGTATTTTACCGAAGAACTGATGCATTTACATCGATGCATGCTGGTGCATGCACAGAAGGGGATGCTGTCATACGGCCGAACTCCTCCGCTCCCCACTCGGTCGGACGGACGGTCAGAAGTCCGCTCCGGGAGGCACTCTAGATGAACACCGGGAGGCTTCCAGAAGCGGTCAAGGGGTTCATATGGACCCCATGGCCCATGCTCACTGCTTGTGACCTTGATTTTGACTCAGCGTTCCAAGGGAGGAACTGTACCTGTGGGGATTTTCTGGACCTCACATACCTCACTCATTTCAGACATCTTGAAGGGTTTCAGAATTCCAGATCTTCGGCATGAAGTCTTCCATCAACATCATCCACTCCCCCGGGTGGCGCCCAGGATCTCCGTGCACAGAACCTGGCCGGTGGCACCGGAAGCAGCCAGGAAATCCGGCACGACATGCCGATGAGCGGTTAAAAGACCTGATGAGGGTCACTTAGAGCGAGAAGGTCCCAAATTGGTCTGTTACATCAACTCTACTTGGTGAGAGCACCAGCGTGGTACGTATTCCCGAACCATTTTGATCACAGAATTGCTCTGGGCATCCCTTGGGAGAATGAGCTGCATTCGTGCATTGGATGGCAAATGATCAACCACACCCATGCACGACCTAAAAGGGCATGGCTCAACCTGTGGTAGTTGCCAGAAAACCTGAGAGCCATATTAGGGGCACCGTACCACGCGAAGAATACCCATTGAACTTTGCTGTCACTCACTATAACTTCAGCTAACCAGAAGCTTCGCAACTCGTTTCCGCTGCCTGTGAGGGGGCCTGCAAAGTCGATAGGAAGGGCAAACCTTGCAAATCCCCCCAAATCTAGAAATCTGAAACATATGTCTCCTCTCACTTCTGACATAAGATGTCAATTCACATCCCAACATAACCCAACTCTTGAAGTCCTACACATCCCCCCCCTCGACAGGAGTCCAACCCGGACGACCGCCGAGTCTCCGGCGCTTTGGCTCGGGCGTCCCAGGGGCTCCGCTCCGCTCCGTGGGGGTTTCGACGCGGCTCCCGGTGGTGACGAGAAGAGGGTTTCGAGCGATTGGCTCCACCAGACGAGCGCCTCAAGAAGAAGGAAAGAACGAGGTCAGAAGGGTGACATTTGGAATTAGAGACAATATTAATATAAGGGAACCCTTGGTGTAGGTACTCGCAACTATTTGGTCCTGGGATAATTGGGTTGTAAAATGTAAGTCCATAATAGGTCGCGTTGGCATTTCTTCAAGGTCCAACTTTGACAAACACACACAAACCATCCACCAACTTGGGGTCCAATAAATTCACATCGGACACTTTGGAGAACATGGGCGTTTCGGCAACCAATGGGACGAAACCGACTCCACCGACTTGGTTTCGGCGCCTTCGGTCCGACCGAGGAGTTGGAGCTGCCGGACCCGGTCACCTTCTCTTCGGACCCGGCGGCCGAGACCGCGGCGGCTCAGCCCAAGACGACGGGCGCTCGGGCAGATACATGTCGATCTCTTCTTACATAAGAAGCTCCAGTACCCGGGTTGGATTTCGATCCGAAGGGATGCAAGTTGGTGTGGAGCTTTTAGATATTCTATTCTTCGGAGGTGTTAGGCAAGATAGAGGGGACACTAAAAGAACCCAAGGAGTCCTTAAAGTCATTAGACAGATTGGTTGTTGACTGTGAGTGAGAAACACCTGAAAGTTGACTCTGGGTCAGAATCCTGAAGTGGTGTGGGACAATGAGAATTGATAGCTTGTTGGCGAGTTTCTGGAGACGGACTTCACAGAGTTTGTATGCAATGGAATGACCGTGTAAAGTTCGAAGTAGGTGGATACCACCGGTGGGTGTACCCGTGATGGAAGTTGAGGGTTCCGCTTGACTTTATAGGTCGTTTGTTTTCTTTCTTTTTTACCAAGCTGATTCTATTCAATGTTTTTTAATCATGTTGCTAAAAAAAGAACAGCCAAGACGGGCTGTCCTGTGCAGCTTGAGCTGCAAGTTCATGCTCAACCAACGCTTGTCCAGGAAATTCCCCAATCCACAGACTAGCAGGGATCTATATAAAGCATTACAAAGCCATCCATCCATCCACCCTGTATTGAGCGCCCAAATTAAAGCCACCCGGTCAATGTGAAGTCGGTTTCAACGCCCAAGGCTCAGGCAGCTATCTCCGAGCTGGTTGGCCAGAGTGGGACGGCGCATCGGCATGCCAGAGGGTAGTCGCAGATGCGGCTGGAAGCGCCTAGGGGAATTGTTCCACTATGAGATTTTGACTCATTGGGATGCAAAAGTCGCCCAAATACCAAGATCTTGGTGTCCAGTCGGAGGTTTGCTCGATGCCCAAGGTCTTAGGCTCGGTCGATTGGTCGGCGATTCCAACTTGACAACACCTGAAAAGCTGTTTCATTCAAAAATAGTCCTAGGCTCATGAGCTTGACCCCTACCACTGGGTGTGGTCCAATGTGGGAAACTCCTGTCTCAGCTTTGCAGTTCGATGTTATTCTATTTTTCTAAAAAATAGTACCTTTTCTGCACCGCACGTTTGCCCCGCCGGTGAACCAACGTTCGCCCCACCGGTGGGCTTCGAGTTCCTGGGTCTTTTCGGCGCCCAGCAAGGACCTGTCAACCCTGGCAGTGTCGCTGATGCCAGCGGTGAATCAAAACCACACCGTGGACTGTTGGTACAGTCTGGTGCTCCCCGAAGCGGAGGCACTTGGGCCAGAGAGCGACAGTTGCGTGCTTCAGACGGATGGGCTTGAGAGGGTGATGCAATCAAGGTCAAAGAGTGTGAGAACCAGGTAGTTATATGAGATAATTGTGACATGTCCCTTAGATTGAATGGTCAAGTTGATCAAGACCTTTTGGAAGACCGATTCCAAAACTGGGTCACCTCCGGATCTATCAGGGTCTGTAAGCTCACTGATGCCCTTGGAATTGGATTCCCATCACCAGCTCCGGATATACCGGGTAGTTTGGATTTGTTACCAAGTCCCAAGTCCACAAGCACATGCATCCCGATTGCAACGGCCCAAGAGGTCATCGGAGCTCCTTTGGTTTTCAGTGTCTTCGGCCCCAACAGTTGTCTTAAGAGATCCAGCGATGTTCTCCGATCTGGACCTCGCAGCATCCTCACTACATGGGACATGCTCCAAAGTACGAACCGGCATTTTTGGGACTGAGTTCGTCTCGTCATACGTATGAGGGTTCATGACCCTGTTGTGGATGATCACCGTGTGACAGGGTATTCTGCAATGCCTCGGACCGTTTGGTCACCAGTGCAGTCCGAGGTCAGGACTCCTCTTGTCTCACCTCCCCCAACAGCGATTCCTTGGGGGACAAGGTGGCACAGCGACCTGAAAGCTGACCCTGCTCACCACCCAATCATACAGAGCGCCCTCCTATAAAATATAGTTTACCTATAGGGTAGGGTCTATAGGAGGGACCCTAGTGGTAGCTACCCTACCATACAGGGGCAGGGCCTACCCTATAGTATCCCATCCGTTCGCCTTCACTAGGCCCTCTACCGCCGCCTCGTCCGGCTGGAAGGCCCTGGCGGTCGCCGGTCGACTGCACGGCGTGGAGACGAGCGAGGCCACTCAGCACCTAGGCGCGGGGCGTGGGGCGTGGGGGGAAGCACTGCGAGGTTTGGGAAAGGGTGTGGTGCATCGGATGATTGATCAGGTGATTTTTGATGGATCTGTCACCAAAGAGCGAAAGATGCTGAAACAGGATGATGAACAATTATGTTAATTACATTTTATTATATACACATTATTACAATTCAATATGTTTCTGGAAAAACAACACTTTCTAGCTGACCTTTGAGATGCCACACCTTTGGTGAGTGATGTTGCTGTAGATCATGGATTCGGGCTGGCGCGCCTGCTGGCGCTCTTCGTTTCGCCAGGTGCCGAGCTCCTGCGCTTGGGCCTCTCGAGCAGCGTGACGGTGAAAGGCATCACAGCCACCGTGACCTCCACCCGCACCTGACTGGGGTCGCTCTGGGGAGGACCGCGGAGGACAGCGGAAGAACGGAATTCGGCTTGGGAGTCCCTCGGAGAGCTTTCTGGTTGCACCTTTGCGACATTGGGTGGAAGTAGCGAGATTGGGTCGGCAGGAACTTGGAGTCTGGGCATCCTCATCGGTCGAAGTGGTAAGAGCGAGGGTTCAGTGTTTTTAATGTTGTAACATTGGATGACCTGGGGAGATAACTTTATCATATCTAGATGATGGTTTCGGATATTTTTATGTTCAACCCTTCCTTGGGGATGATTGGACCCTCTGACTAATATTTGTTTAAGTGGGTTGAAAAGACCAACCAGATATTGTTTTGGTTGTTTGTTACCGCTGTTCATTTATTTGGGGCTTCTGGTGCATGTCATTGTGCTGATCTTCCGAGCTAGTGCTCAGCAGCAGCTGATTTGTGGTACATGATTCATGTATTTAGTGCTCAGCATTTGCTCCACGTTAGGCTTGGGGATTCAAGTCTTTGATCAAAAGACAAAACACACGTCTCATGCACCTTACATAGCTCATGCTCCAGACAAACGTTTGTTGAAAGCTGGTGTGGTGTCTCCCTCGTGGACATGCACCATCGACAGCTCCAAAGACCTCTACATCCTACGAGCTTGGCTGGTTTACTGGAAAAAAAGGGTGAAATGATGTGAACTGTCCAGTAGGTGTGGTAAGCAAGGTGTGTTAGCACATCACGAGACTAATTACACTCCAAAAAGGTTCATGAAAAGCAAATGGATCGACAAATGAGCCCCTTTCCGTTCTGCAAGGTGGAATGCAAGGCACATCCAGGTGCTTGAGCTGGGGATTTGCACCTGACCATGTGCTCTGGTCTTTGGACATCTGGCTCAAGGCGCTCGTTTGAAAGGCCAACTGCCTGTTGTTGCGTCAGCTTTCTTCCCGCCCGCCGGCTGCTGACTAAACGGTCATGGCGGAGGAAACCAACGAAACCAACCAAGAAGTGGCTGAGGCCGGTCGAATCGTTTTGATGCTCAAGGGCACTTCTTGACACGAATCGCCAGGTCGAATCGTTTGGGTCACGAAACTGAAGCCCAAAATCAAGCCAAACCATCGGAATTCCAACTTGTCATGATCGGAGCGCAGAAAGTGATTGATTTGGATGCGCTTTCTTTTCATGCGATGGTGCGTTCTTCGAATCGGCTCGGCTCCGACTCGGACCGAGCTCTTCGATCTTCGCTTCCTGCGCCGCTTTTCGCAGGAGGGAGCGACCGAGTTTCAAGCGGTGAGTGAAGCCAGCGAGGACGTGGCTCGTGAGGACACCATCACTGAGCTCGTGGATGAGGAGGACGAAGGCGCTCCTGGACGGGACTGGAGGCTTAGTAATTTGATAATGCACCGAAGCCATTCAGATTCCATTCTCTGATTTCACACATTTATATGCAAACTGGATACATCAATTAACTGCATGTACATAAATGCACCACACACACACACAGAAGTGGACAATGGCATTTAAACATGCTTGCGGAGGTGAAGGGCTGATTTGCCAGGCAAAGACAAGCTTGACTCCGCTGAGACACTGAATGAATTGCTTCATTTGCCTGAGTCTGAGCTTGAACCTGCTTGACTGATAGATGTGAAACACAAACATGTGAGGTCACAGAGTCACAGAGTCACAGAGACCAAATCTGCTGCATAAGAACCACTGAATTCATATCAGTTAAAGCACAAGATGATTTCACCCGTTCTTTTTCTCCCGGAGTCAAGGTGGTCAGTTGTTGGAACATGTCACATTTCTTTCTTTGCCATCCGTTCATGCCTATCCAAAATTGAAAAGAAAAGCCTCCTTTAGTCAACCCGAATCCAGACACCGAGCGACAGATGGTTCCTCCAAAAAGAAGAGTGGCCTCAAGCGGATCTCTCTCGGCGTCACCTCTCCTTTCTCGGGGTCGAGGTCGGCAACGGAGCTGTGTGTTTTGAAGCAAAGTTGGGAAATGTTCATGAAGAGTCTGGGTGGAGAACGGGCGGCTTGGCCAAAGAATGGGCGCGGGGCTGCGGGCTGGGAGGGAAGGTTCAAGAAAGGGACGTGGCTCGAAATTGAACGATATACCAGGAGTCACAAAGGGGTGCCTATTGGATGATAAGGGTGCCCATTATCCACTAACTTAGGGACTAAAAGGAACTCTTTGTGACTCCTGCAAAGTGGTTTGAGGAGTGGAGATTGTGAGTGGTAGAGCTGTTCAAGCAAAGTATCCACATCCTTGGCGGACAAGCGCAGCCAAAACCCAATGTACAGCAATTTCCCAATTGACATTTGTGTTCTGCAAAGGAATCTTATTGGAAGGCCAGGCGGTGGTGGTTCGCCGGTTCAATTGGAGGCCGTTCAAGTCATTTGTGATGGTTTCTCCTTGTTTTTTCTGTGGCAGGATTTCATCGGTTGATCCCTCCCTTTGCCAGCGCTAGGTCGACACTGGCGACACTGGACGCCACCCCGGTACCCACCGGTTCTGAATCCTTTCACGCAGCCGGGTCAGAAACGTGGTGTAGGCTATTTTTGTTCGGGTTTCTTCGGGCTTCGGAAACACCATCCCCCCACCCTCCCAGCATCCAACCAACACCCCTTGGACCGGTAGGCTTCGTGTAAGCGCCATCTCCTGCAGGAGACGGTGGGTGATGCGATCTTCGGCGCTTTGAGCCACCGACTCACCTGCATCAAGGCCGGTGGGGGGAAGCGAAAGGGCGGACCCGGACGGTCATGGTGTATGATTTGGTTATATTTGGTCTGACTATTACTACTAGCTTCTTGTTACTACTAGTAAGGCACTTGTTACTAGTAGCGATGCACTTGTTCCTAGTAGCATTTCTAATATATTTGGTCTGACTATTTTCAGCAAGAACATGCAACTAAGCAGTTCATATGTGAGGTTTGGGATTCGGGACTCTCTACCAGGTGATCCATGCTGGCATGGATCAGGGGATTGATCCTCTTTCCCCATCCTAGGCCGTGGTCATCCCTAGCCCAAGCCCACACCCCTAAACACTGGAGTCGCTTCCCCAACTCCACACACCTAATTAGACTTCAGAGATGGCATCGCAGCAGCGATGGCTTTCCACCACGGCACCACGCCTGACACATGGAGATCCATGTCAGGCCGCTTCATGGAGGGGCGAGGATCAAATCTGTATTTGTCGGACCAAGTTCACCCAATCACAGCCACTTGGGGCTCCACACAAGGTGCCACATCCGTGGGAACCATGAAAGTCTTTGTCTTCGAAAGAAACGCCCCTCTTCTCAGGAGGCGTTTCAAGGCCGACCACGTGCCATCATCTCCTTGAACCTCTTCAACGGCTTCCGCTTGCTCTGTGACAAGAGCCCAGTCCCAGAAGACCTCCGGGTGCATGTGGAAACCTTGGCCTTCAAGCGTCTTGGGACTAAACATCGGTCTTCGATGTTGGGAGGAAGGGACGAGACAGGAGCCCCGGAGCCCCTAAGACGTAGCGTCCGATCGCTCCCTACGCATGATGCACGTTGAAGCAGATCCGATCTCCTCTAAAATGGCTGAAATTCTCTCCCCATCGGCCACGGCGGAAACCCTTGCATCGATGGAGTTGGCGCCCGATGGTTGCTGCTCTAAAACAGGGATCACCGGTTCCCTGTAGGTACTCGTAGCGCTAGGTGTGTTTGCTTGCAGTGTAACTAGGCTTGCGATCACACACTGACACTCACTCAACACATCTCACAAGGACGCTTGGTTGTGCTTGGCTTCACAAAAGCCAGCTTCTAGTCAAATCCAAAAATCGAATGGGATGACTTGCTTTTCTTTGTCTCAGTGGGGTTCATGGTTCGAGCTCCCAGGCATTTGGGCTGCGAAATCAATCAGCAGCGCGTGGACGGGGTCACGGAGGCCTTTTTGGAGCTGGTCACGCAGAACGTGCCAGACCTTCCTCCTGGCAGCGTGAACGTCTGGCAAAAGGTTCTGACCTATACGGGATCCTGTTGCAGGCGGGGCCACCGCGTTCTTTCCGCGAACCTCGGGGGGGGCTGGAGGACCTCCGAAGACCTCAAAAAGGCGCGGCGCTTTTCGGACCTAAACTGCGCGGTGAGTTTTGATGAGTTTCTGCATCAATCTAAACTACTGGTAGGACAAAAGACCTTGGCCAGAGAAAATGCAGGGCCGGGTAAGACTTGCTTTGGTGGCCTCCAGTCCGACCCCCGCTTCAGAAGGAAGTTAGATGAGTTTTGCATGTTCTTTGGGACTATTTTTCGTTACGATGCATGTTTAAACCATGCATGGAAGATCTGGAAGCCTTCTTTCGCAGGCGCTTAATTTGTGAGGTGCTTTCCATTGTGCCTAGTGCACCCCCTGCTAACACTGGCCACCACCTGTGTGTCAGCCAGGTTCTACACTGCAAAGTCCACAGTACCCACGGGGCCAGGGTGGATGGCATGGACCTGACATGGATGACCATCTTCCACGATTAAACATGTGGTGCCATGGTGGTGCCATCCACTTCCATGTGAGTTTGAGTAAATGACACGCCCATTATATGTTAATGACAGTGAACAACAGCATGGAGTGCTCGGCTCGCTCGGCTCATCTCGGCTCGATGCACTTCATTGTGAACCCCACGTCGGTGGACAGGTATATCAGCTCCACCTACACAGACCGGCTCAAGATCATCCAGGCAGCCACGAAAGGCTTTGAAGCGGTTTGGTTTTCATGGTGGGAGAACAAACGTAAGCTGCGTCCCAGCGCCCCACACGCCAGCTCACGGCGGGGCAGCGGCCGGCCTAGTGTTTCCCCCGGGTCAGCCACGGTCCGACCATACCGGCCCTCTGGAAGAACCTTGAAGAACCTTGTCAGCCTGGTCGAACATGGTGAGGTTCTGGTGTGTCGGTGTCCGTTCGAAACACCAGACCGAGACCGCCCATCGTGGCCCTGGCAGGACGATTGGCGTGTCATCCAGTCAGCTCAAGACCAAGAGCATGAGGCGAAGCTCACCGAAAAGGGAAGAAATTGTACCAAAGAGGCTTTCGACTAATTAACAAAGCACCTGGATTGCCTGCATTGGTTCCGTTCCACTTTTTTTTTGCACCTTCCAGAATCCGGCCATGTATCCATCGCTCCGTGTTTTTTTTACTTTTTTTCAACCGCCCAGACGGTCTCGCCCTGCCCTCGTTGTCGAAGCTCGGCTCACTCGGCCGCAGGAGGGCACCGAGGAGCATGTGAATCGGAGCTTCGCCGGGATGTGCGCCTTCAGCAGCGAGGTCATCGGGCAACCCACGGAAGGACGGTGAAACGGAAGAGATCTGAGGGAAGACGGATGGACGGTGATGGCGTGGTGGGTGAGTTGAGACCTGTTTCATGCAGATGTTGAGATGTGGTGTGCAGGGTGCTTTGATGTACTTTGGGTTCCCACAACGCATATGAGGAGGAAGAGAGGGGGTAGAGTCGATGGTTCAAGATGCTTAGTAAGATGATGTGTATAAACATGGAGAGAACCTTACCTTGAGCATCCGTGAGCCTATGGAACCAACGGTTTTTTTTCCCCACAATGTAAGTAAACTCAAAATTATATCAAGCACTCTTTCCCTTTTCAGTCAGGATGGATGGAAGAAATCTTGCAGGTTTTTGATGAAGCTCGGCAGCAACTTAGAGGCTTTGGGCATTCTTCAAGGAAGACGTGGGCATGTTGAAGGCGTGAGCTATACTTTAGGAGCGCAGCAGTTCTTAGGATGTACCCTCCATATTTTTGTTTTATGAGCCCTACTGCTTGGGGGGGATGTTATTATCATCAATTCTAATCGGGAGGACCGTGTAGCTGCGTCATTCTCTTACCGGATCATGACTCATGACCCTGTCACATGGGCTTGACACTCCTCGAACGTGGTGCTGTTTGGCCTCTCATGAAGCACTTTGTCAGGAGAAGATGTGTATAGTAAGTGTCTTGGTACTCCAAAAGGGCACAAAAACACAGGGTGGCATCCGACTCGCTCCCTTCGTAGCGATGCCCTTTGTTACTGAGCTCGGTTGAGCGGATGTTCGAGACATTGTACACGTAACGGGGACGGTCCATCTTCAGCCCACAAAGCAAGCAACCAGCAAGGAGCAACGAGCCTCTCCTCGCCCTTTCTTGTGAGGAGAGAATCGGTTTGACCGTTGCTTTCCATTCCACATGGTTGATTTCACTGACCCACAAAACGTCCCAGCTCTTCCATGATCCGGAGATGGTCTTCGTCTCTGACTCTGCCCTTTCCATTTGAGAGCCCCAAGCTCTGGGACTGCCGCCTACATTGGGGTGGGTTGGACGGTCATGTAACGATTCCATACATGGATGGTCTGGTCTGAAGCCGGAGGGATGTTCTTCTTTGGCACCAAGAGGCTTCTGCGCTCGGGCCATTGTTCTGAGGTGCTGGTGGAGCGGATTGGAAACCCATCGCACTTGATGGAGGCTGGTGGTGTTTGCTTCAGGGCAGCATGGAGTCAGACATGAAGTCAGTCAGGCTTGCAACCCACGAACATGAGAATGCACTCCGCCAGACGCCCACGCAATGAAGTGACCCAAAACAAGCTCTCCTTTATGAGAAACTTCTTTGGTCCGAAACAAGAGCGTCCGTCTTCGCCAGTGTCATCTCACCATCCGCAAGACGTGCTTCTTCTCGTTTTCAGATTCGACCCGTTCGCGTCGCGTGCTCGGATGCATCCGAATCCGCACGGTGCCGTCAGGAGTGTGAACTGCTGGCCATCAGTATGATCACCAAGGCGAAGGACCCCGGGTGGTGAACGCTCCGAGGTGCTGGAACGTCGGACTGCCCGGGGTGCTTAGGAGACCCCAAATCTCCTGAACGATGTTCGGAAGGAGCTGGTTTTGTAATGCCACAGTTCATGAACCTGGAAGAAGAGATGCGCCAAACCATGAAGTCATGAAGGGTTCAGAAAGCAGCACAGGGACCAGGGAGAGGTGTTTGTACAGGTGGCTTTGGGTAGAATTCAGGTCCACAACCTGCCACCTGCGCTTGCGAACGACCATGGCCGGCAAAAGAGCGGTCGTGTTGCTAGATTGCGTCGGGGGGGTTGTTGGATTGGAAGGATCGACGAACGAGGCCTTCCCCTGGTATTGAACAACACCAAAAGGTCTATGTTTGTCTGAACAACGTGTCATTTAGATAGAACACTGGAGTCCAGCTTCTGCTTGCAACTATGGAGGGAATGGATGGGCTATCTGAACAACTCGCATGGGCTGTCTGGAAACTCGGATGGGCTATCTGAAAACAGTAGTAGCAAGAAGCTGTACTAGTAACAAGGGCATCGCTACTAGTAGCTCCTGGCATAACTACTAGTAGCAAGAAGCTGTAAGTCTTAGACTGATCAAATGCACAAGTAAACATCGACTCCGAGCGAAGGCACACCCTTAGACACGCCGGGCCCATGGGGCCCGGATGTGACGGCACGGACACGGAACACTCGTGAGAAGGTCTTATTCAACTAGTAGTAACAAGAAGCCATTAATTCCAATTACATTCTAATTGTTACTAGTAGTAAGGCACTTGTTCCTATTAGCTCTTGTTACTACTAGTAAGGCACTTGTTACTACTAGCGATGCACTTGTTACTAGGAGCTTCAACAAGTTCTTCTTTATAGGACTTGTTTCTACTACATTGTTTTATTCTTTGCTCTACTCGGCTTCCGCCCGTGTTTCAGCGATGACTGGATTTTCATCAGAATCTGGTTGGTCTTCTGCTGAACTCTTGTATGCCCACAAAGTAGCAGGACGACGTTTGCAAGAGCACTATTTTCATATACTGTCAATCCTTTGAATGCATGAGGGGCCGCCACTCATGTCATCTAGATTAATATGTTGACCATTCTTCACCAGGACATTCAGTTTGAGAAGTTCAAACCCGTGATGCTTGCGGCCCTGCGCTCTTTGATCCTCAGCTGATTCAGAGCTGTGCAGGGAGGACGATGACCAATAGGGCTTTTGTTTCGCAGACCTGGTTTTCACAGAACTCCGCAGGCGGTAGCAAAAGATCAAAGAGACAAAGTTCCAGAAGCAAATATCGCCATTCCGAGAACAGTCAGTGGATAACCGGATAACCTGCAAAACCCTTCGGGGAATTGGGAACCCCCCTAGCCAAATCCAACAGGCTTGTCAAGTTCGTTTCAGCATGTTGAACATTGTTTGACGGTTTAACCTAGACTCTTCAGCCTTGGGCTTCCGCGTCGGTCCATGCCGCCCAGGCTGCCGAAGAGTTGGAGCACGACCCATGAGACGGCCTGGGAGTGGCTGTGGGCAACCATCAGCCACAACTTGCGGGAGTCCACCATCAAGGCGTGGCGTTGTTGGCATTTGTAGGAATTCATGTGGGTTCAAGTAATCATGTAGACTGTAATTAGGATAATTAGGCCAAAGGTGTGAACAAATTGAACTACTATTTGACTATACATTCTGCATGGGCTAAACCAGTGGCACCTTGCTGCAACACTCTAGACTTGGGTAAGACAAACGCAGAAAAGTGTCAGCTCCATCGAATTCGGATGGTGATATCATCCCCACAACCCCAAAAATTGATCTGCATGCAACGTATGTGATCCAAGTATATCATTAGGGGTTTGAATGGGTTTCCATCTCTCTCACTCTCCCTTTGTATGCATATACTGTCGGTCACTTCGCATACTTTGACCATGTATTTGAATTGATTCTATTGACCCGCTCAATAGGTTGAACAGTTCCTCCTTTACCTCCACGGACATCCCTACCTGTCCTCTTTGACAGGGCCCTCCACCATCCTTTTTGCGCAGAAATTGACCTAGCCAGCGGGCTTGCTCCGCTTGCTCCCTCCGCGCACGGCAGGCGAGGGAGTTCAAGCCCTACAACGCCCAACTCTTTTCGAAGCTGGGGGAAGGGTACCCTGAGCCTGATCCGACGTCCTCGCTCTCGACGGTTCGACATCGATGGCCGCCGTGATCCGCCGTTGGTTTCTTGTTTTATGAGCGATCCGCCGACCGACCGAGGACCGACCACAGCGGTGGTCTCAAGAGTTACTGCTTGGATAGACTGGGTTGTAACTAGTCCTTTGATCTTTGTGGGAAATAGCAGTTGATAGTTATATCGCAAAGGGTTTGGAAGACGTTCTGCCATTTGGAGCTCAAGAAGGTCGAGATCCTTGGGTTGCAGCGCCACTGTGAAGGCTCCACTCCTTTGCACCAGTTTCTCCCCAGCCAGCTGGGCCCTGGAGCCGCAGCCTTTATGGGGCCGAACTGGAGTCGACAGATCTTTTCGTTCTTCAAGTAATAGATATACTGTAATGTAATAAACAAATAACAAACATACACAACAATGATCATCATCATCGGCCTCGCAACGATTGGCTTAGGGAGATGGACTTCTTCCGAAACAACCTCTACTCGGACTTCTTGGCGAAGTGCCCCGCGAGTCAGGAGATCTTCAAGCAGCCGGGGGGCCCGAGAATTGCTCTGGTGCAATCGGCAGGAACACCGGGTTCTAGAGAAGAAGCGTATCAACCTAGTGTGTAGATCAACCAAATGAGGGTTCTCAGTGTCTGGAAGTCTTCAACCCAGTTGGAAGATGTTGGACAGATCTTGGGGGATCTCCTTATCATTCCTCATCCACCAGCTGCAAATGGGCGCTGAATCTTCTCGCTGGCCGAGAGTTCCGGGCGAACCTTCGCCCGGAACGTGCACCACTGATTCCCCTCATTCGCAGAGGTGCGAATTCGCCATGACCACAACCCCTCACATAGGTGCAACCCCTCACCACAACCCTCGCCACCGGTGTCCCATGGAAGCCGGGTTCAGTTATGCTGGAGTAGTCCAGCGCACCCTGGCGCACCCTGGAAGAACCTGCAGCATTCCAGAAAGATCCTGCTGCATTTGAATCTGTAGAATTTAGTATTTTGAGGATGCTTCTAACAGTGTCAATGCCACCGCAGCATGGCTCACATGACCTGACGCTGGCGCAGTGCACAAATGGTTCGGAAAGGAAGAAAGCTTCTCCGTCAGTGTCCAGAGTTGAGAGTGAAGGTAGTGCTCCCGAGTGGCTCAGCTTGATTGATTGAGCTTCAAATTGTTTGGCAGTTGTTTTGCCAGTGCCGGTCCTGGTTTCGGGGCACACTACTAAAGAAGGGAGAATTTGATTTGGTTTGCTGGCCAAGGTGGCCGTGATGCAGAAGTCTCAGTGCTTGCGACTTCCAAAATTGGGGATCTGAAAGTTGCTGCCCAGAAGTCTTTGGGACAAGGCGGGCCTGGGTAGCTCTCCCAACGACATGTGAAGACCAACCAAGTTTAGCTTCCTGCATGAGTTTCTTTGGTTCTGTTGTTTCCGTGGCATGTTTGGTGTCGGTGGGTGATTTCTGACTCAGGTCCACATGGATGCGGTCTGTCAACCGGACCGGACCGTGGTCAGTCGTCCTTCGGGACCAGCTGAACAAACGAGGGAGTTGAAATCGTTTGGCTATCCAAGATCATGTTTTTCCTTTTAGCTGCAGGCTGCAGGTGGACCTAAAATGTCTTGACATAAATATCTCTTTGTTTGGCCAGGCTTCCTGAAGCTCCTCAGCCCTGATGGACAACTTTTGAATCCAACTGCTGCACTTGCAGAGCTTGGACTCAAAGATGGAGAGACTTGGACGTCCAATACTCCAGCGAAACTTGTGGCTGGGAAAGAGGATGAGTGACTCAGTGATGGATTGACGCGTCGTGCACGTGCGCCGACCTTTCAAGAATCCCTTAGAAAGGCCATTTGATTTTTGACTCATCAATCACCAGACTTTAAGTACGAGGGATACAAAACCAATCCTGGAAAAAGGGCTTTGGTGCAAGCAAATCCAAAGATGTTCAGAAACAGCACCAGCAGCAATTCAATCAATCCAACAAACACCTCCCCCCAAAGCTTGGTTCAGCGAAGAATCTGCTCACTTGGGGCCACATTAATCTTTTTGTTGGCGTGAAAGAAGCCTGCAGCCTCCTTCGCTACAAAAAGGCTCGAGCAAAAGGCGCTACAATCACTAACAAAAATGCGCATGGAACCTTATCAGAGAAAGAGCAGAGGTCAACCTACCACAACTTACCCTTTTTGGGGCGGTTTGCAACTTTTTCGAACCGCGTGCATGTTTTCGGCAATTTGAGCGCATTTTGTGAGTTTCCACCTCTGGCCCAAGAACCCTTCAGTCTTCAGCATCTTAAAACAACATCCGCAAAACCCTTCAACACTCCTAAAAGTGAGCATTTCATCGGAAACGTCACCAACGTCCGATAGTGCTCAAACCGTAGGTTCGCAATAAACGTGCTGCAAATGAAGGTTCAGGAGGCTATTCAAACAAACCATGCTACACATCTGCTGCGAGGGTGGTGTGTAGCCAAAACAATGGAAAAGCAGACCAACTCACCGGAGAACCTTTACTCTAAGCCAACGTACCAAGAACAGCAAATTTGCGGGGAAACCTTTTTGAAGCCCAAGCGGTCTTCGTCTACCTAAAATCTTTGTTTTGTTGAGCTGAGGATTATCTTGGTGCAGTTGTGCAGTCACCACTGGTGGCAACCACAAACTTCGCCTTTGCTTTGTGGTGTTGCGGAGGCGGTGTTGTTACATGGGGGGAATTGGAGGAGGGTGGCGACTGCAGTCCTGTTCAAGATCGACTCCAAAACGTCCAGAGCATTCACTCCACAGATTTTGGTGGCTTTGCTGCACTCCTTGGGGACGGGACAGTGGTCACTTGGGGTTCTGAAACGTATGGTGGTGACAGCAGCCCAGTGCAAGGTCAATTGACCAATGTGCAGACAATCCATTCAACGTGTGGTGCGTTTGCAGCCAGCCTGGGTGATGGAACGGTTTTTGCATGGGGTGATCCAGGATGTGGCGGTGACCCTGGTAGCGAACGAAATCAGCTTCAGAATGTGAAAGAGATTCGGACAAACTGGGGTGCTTTTGCTGCCATCCTGGGTGATGGAACAGTTGTTACGTGGGGCAATGCACTGGCTGGTGGTGACAGCAGCCAAGTCCAGCATCATCTCAAACATGTGAAGGAGATCTTTCCTACAGATGCTGCCTTTGCTGCACTTCTTCATGATGGAACGGTTGTGGCATGGGGCGCTTCCTGTTCGGGTGGAGACATTAGTGGCGTGCGCGAGCAGTTGAGCAATGTGCAGATGATTTATGCGACAGAGGATGCCTTCGCAGCCGTTCTCAATGACAAAACAGTTGTGACATGGGGTGGAGCTGAATTTGGCGGTGATAGCAAAGGTGTCCAAGGTCAACTGAAGGACGTGCAGAACGTATTGACAAGCCGTTCTGAGTTCTTTGCACTCCTCAGTGATGGAACATGTGTTGCATGGGGGTACAAACCCCCACCAGTGGGAATGCACGATCAGCTGAAACACATGCAGGGTGTTTGTCGAAACATGGCTGCTTGTGCTGCGCTCCTTGCTGATGGAACGGTCGCTACGTGGGGCTCTTCGACACATGGCGGCGACAGCAGCAAGGTTCAGGATCGTTTGAGAGACGTGCGCGAGATTGTCGGAACAGAAAGTGCTTTTGCTGCTCGCCTTGGTGATGGAAGAGTTCTCACATGGGGCGATCCTAAGAGTGGTGGTGACAGCGATGGGGTTCAACATTCTCTGAGACATGTACAGAATATTCATTCGACGGACGGGGCGTTTGTCGCAGTGCTCGCTGACGGGACAGTTGTTACATGGGGCGATCCATATTATGGTGGTGATAGCCGGGCAGTCCAGCAGGAGCTTCAATGGCTGTGGTGAAAACAAGTCAGCGGATGCGGATGCGTGGCCGAAATCCAAGTCTTACAGGTCTTTGAACAGTAAATTGTTCTGTTCAACCAGAAAACGAGGTCACCTCGGGTTGAAACTCAGATGACCGATGAAACTGCAGAGGACAACTGGTGAAAAAACTGCAGAGGACAACTGGTGAAGAAAAGGTTTCCCGCAAAAGAGCTTGCAGTCACCAGTCGACGAATTGATCATGTTCCCCGAACAGGACAGTATGGGTAGGTGTGGCGGGAGGTGGTGGGTCTATTGGTTCAATAAAGGAGTGATTGAAACACATCCCCACAAGCATCCAGCTTTCAGAGGATTCAGCATTCATTTATTACATGTTTAAGCTATTTGGGTGGTTGCAAGAAGGGTTGACGCGCATAAACCATGTATTTTTTTCCGGCCGGCCCCATCCCTCACATCGACCTCGGCGCTTGGAAAGCGACCGAGGTCTCAGACCCGACTGCACTACATCGCAGACCGGGTGCTGCAGTCATCCTACGAGATGTTCCACACGCCCAAAGATGATGCGTGACTGGAGAGGTGGAGCCGAATCCGAAGAAAAATCGGAGAAGAGAAAGACGGTTGGTGAGCGGGTGTAATAATTTTTTTGTGTTGGTATAAAACTGGACAAGTGATTTCAGGCTATGGCTTTGAATTTGTTTGAATAATTCTGAATACTCATTGTGAGGATTTGACCTCTTTCCTTCACATCGCTTTGTGCCGTGTTTTTTTTGTTTGGTTTTTCGGGGCCGTCCGTCACCACGTGAAGATCTTGGAGCATCTTGATTGCGCCCACGGTGGGAGCGATCTCGGAGCAGGTAGACATCAATACAGGTGGAACAGATGGAAGGAAAGTCTTAGTGCTCAAAACCGAGGATCGAGGTATCGGGACATTGAACTGAAACCCGTGGCATTCTTGTAGGACCAAGAGTTGGTTTTGCTTTCACAAAATGATCTACACCAGGATCTCCCCAAGTTCCTTTTTTAGGAGGAAAACCCACTCGGACAATCACTTGACCTGTGTGTCTTTGTGAGGTCTGAGGTTGGTGGACAGACCCGATCTTTCCCCCCCCAAGCATCCCCAGGTTCACAGGCAGATGCTTGTTGAATCCCTGGTGCATATTTATTTTGGATGACATGGGCCGATGCAGATCATATTTTCATTTGGGGCAGGTATAGAATGCGGGAGGCTTTGATTTTGAGGGATTCTCGGGCTGTCAGCATTTGCCAGCGACGTGTGGGGACAGTTGCTTCGGAAAAAACTGATCCATCCGAACATGCGAAGAGCCCTTATCGGGCACAAGATGCTCAAAGTGCTGATCAAGCAATAACCAACAACCAGTGCTTGGTTGACGTGGAGCTATCTTTTTTGTTATGTATATAGATATATAGACATAGATACAGATGATATGACTAACATCAGTGCAAGCCCAGTTTTAGATCAACCATCAATCACCTCGTGAATGCCGGGTTCACATCTAAGGAGATGGTGGATGATCTGAGCGGCCTGGGCTTGCGCCACGTAGGCGGGAATCCGGACCGAGAGGAGCGATAGGTGAGGGGGAAGCGGGAACTGCACAGTTGGGGAGGATCCTGAATGGATGTTCTTGGATTCTATATGATTCTATAGATGCATATCCAAATGAATCCGCAGGTTAGTGACTGTTAGTGTAGATGAGTCCGCATTCGTGGAACTTCCACCAATTCTCCTCAAGGAGCTCCTGCCACTGGCCAGGCTATGGCGTTCCCATCGAGCTTTTCGCGCCCTTCACAGATTCCTGTGTGGCGGTGGTGAAAGATGTGGTTGCGAACATGGCCAAAGAAGCAGCTCCTCGCTTGGAGGTTCTGGGATGCCAAAGCAACTGGGGGTGCACAGGTTGAAATCCAAAGCAGCCGAATGAAGCACATGGCCTTTTTTTGGGGGAATCACTGCAGAGCAAAATCACCGGATGGACCTATACAGTGACCGCCAATAGCATACAACTGCTTCTCTATCTTGGCTGTGGGATTGACCCCGTGCTGCCCCTGCTGCAGACCCTTTGAACGGTGCCTGTCGTGCCGCCCAGCGGAGGGTCCGATCCAACGAGCTCGGAATCGATGCTTCGAGTTGTTGCGTCATGGCCCTGAAGCATGTGCTGAGAATGAACTGTTGTACTACAACATGCTATTAGTATGACAATAGTTGTTCAATCAACTTCATTTTCTATTGGTGTTTTTTTCCCTCCACTGTGCCAAGTTAAATTATCCCAAGTGTATTATATATTCACAGTGCCACTGGCCCACCAAGAACCTGGCAGCATCGACGACTCCGACCAAGAAGATTTCCTCCAACACTATCACCGGGGGCGAGGCTTAGCCGCAGCCGATTTGCACCACTGAGGGAACCGGACATGTGGGTCAACGAGGACTTGAATCCAAGCCAACAAGTCACGTTGAAATGGAAACCAGCGTTTTTTTGAGGCGTGGTTATTTGTTTCGCATGGTCGTGGCACGTGATTTGCAAGAACAGAGCTGTCGCATGCAGATCGTTCATGGTCTGACACTTGTGCTGTTGCTGTTGATGCCTGATTCACTGATGTGTTTCAGTGTTTTCAATTGCTAGGCTGATCAATTGCAATCTCTCACATGCCCACCCTTTTTTTGCAGAATCATCTGCACCTCATCTCCACATGTCCTGGCTCTTTTGGAGATCTTCATAGGGATCCCTTCCAAAGCAGCACAGATGGCAAGTGTGTGGGAGAATGTGGAGAAGACTGCCGCCAGGTTGTTTGGTGTAATGATGTTGTGTTCAGACCAGGGCAGAACTCACTGTCATACCAAACCTGTTGAGATCTTGAAACAGGGAGTAGAGGACGCTACTAGGAACAAAGGGCATCGCTACTAGGAGCGATCGGACGCTACGAACGGCGCTCCTGGCCTTACTATTAGCAACAAGAAGCTACTACTAGGAGTATTTATGTAAGACAGAGTCTTGGGCTCTGTCACGCAGCGGATCTCGACACACCGCTGTAGATGGATCTCTTGGGGCGACCGTCCGAGTCGGAGAACTTCAACGGTCGACCCAAGGCAGTTCGCGTGGCCTTTTCAAGGTCTTTGATACTCCACGGGGTCACATAACGCTCCCACTTCCATGGCCCATCCATGCTCCAACTGACCCAGATCCACCTTGCTGAGCGTTTTTGGGGGTAACTGGTGAAGGCCTTTTCCTGTCACCGCTACAGTCCGAAACCTTGAATCCAAACATAAATCGACCTTGACTCCAATTCAATGCTGCCGCCCATCGACATTCACCGTGTCCATCGTCCCCAACCAACAAGACCATGTGTCTGTGTGGCATCGTGCACGGTCCCATGTGCACGCCCCAGCGAATTGCGCCATCGGTCTCGCCTGAGCTGTTGCAATTCGCTGCCCAGCGAGCCGACTGTTGCAACCGACTGATGCCAGAAGTCCAGGACAGTGATGAAGTTCAGGAGTTGATGGTTGAAGGCTTCCGATGGTCCATCGGTCCCTTGGCTCCCACGTGTGTCGGGCGTGTCGTGTGGGCCGCGGTGTGTGTTTTGTTTGGCTTTTCTTGTTGGGAAGGTGCTTGCTCAGCTTTTGGTGCAGGTGGAGAGACCCCTCAGATTCTGTGAATCCATGGAGCGTATCCAGGAACGTAAAGCTAGAGGAATTCCATCAACGTTGTCACACATTTCGTTGGTCTCTGGATAGCAGCTTTTTGGTTTCGAATGTCGAAAGCCAAGGATCTTTCGCTGGATGTTTGAAACCCTCCCGTCCGAATTCGAAACCGTCCTGTCCGAAGAAAGGGTCATTCTTTCATATTCTTTATATATATATATATATTGTTGTCATGTTTCAAGTCTATGCATGTCTATCCTACCGTGGATTGAAGATCTCCACCGACGGGGATCGATCCAGCGGACGATGGGACCCAGGCCTGGTGGCTCGATTGCTCATGCGGATCATCACCGAAGGCTCCACTGCAGTGATGTGCCTTGGGACAGTCGGTTTGACCGGGGGGACCAGTTTTTTTTTGGGGGGGTCCCCGTGTTTTTGTAGACCCTTGATTCATAACACCCCTATATATAGGGGGTTCTATTATCAATCCAGAGTCAGTCTACATGAACTGGACAGACTTCCTTGATTTTTGTCCTTGTTTAGAGGACCAGTCACTGTTCCTTTTGGGTCGAGTTTATCAAAAGGTCAGTTTTGGTTGCTGGGTGATAGTTCTTGGTGTCAAAAACACGGTTGTACTGGTCTTTGAGTGGGTCTCCAGAAGAATTGAACAAACAAATCGAACACGCAGATCCAGACAGCAACCCTTATGATCTAAAAGCATAATATGGTTATTTGTTGGCCCGTAAGAAATAAGGCAAACCGGCTAAAGAGATACCCAGGCCACCAATTGAGAACCAGATCCCGGTCCATGGTTGGCAAATCACGGTCCATTTGAGTATATTTCAGTTCAGTGAATTTGCCCAACCATGAATCATCTGAACCATATCAAACGTGAAGACCAATATAGCCCAATAGAGGCCAAACACATAAGCCGAGAACGAACCACATGCAACCATGACCTCAGCTTGCATCAATCACTAATCCACAACCACGCCACAAACCGCAAGCCCAAAATCACATTGAACTTCAAGTAGTGTCCAACATCTCAACCCCAACCTTCTACCTTAGCACCATCCGCCTTCCCCATGTACCTAGTCAGAATGCCTTCTCAGCTTCCCCATCTCGCTTTCTCAGCCTTCTCAGCCTCCCAGGCAGGCCATCTACCAAGATTCTGCCCAGCTCTTGGGTGCTGCCCTACGAGAGGCTCCACGAGCGCCTCGATCTTGAAGGACCGAGCTCAAAAGCGCGGCCCGCCTGCCCTCTTTTCGTCGCTGCTGGTGGCGAAGTGGAAGTCGAAATGGGTGTGTTGGTGTTGGTGCAAGGAGGTGCAAAGGGTATTTTCATGCATTTTCTTTGGAGAGGTGTCAAGGGTCCTCTACTTGAGGGATTCAGACCATGAGGTAGTTCATGGCTCCTCACTGGGAGTTCATGACTCCTCATAGCGAAAACATGTTGGCGGTGCTTTTCCATGTTGTCCACTGTTTATCTTCTTTTTTTTTGTAGTATGTTGTTTCTTATTTATATAGTCTTGTTTGTTCCTTTTGTATCCTTTTGTTCACACAATTACTATCATACACATCATTTATACACTTTGTTTCTTCCGACATGTCTTTCTATTGTATAGGATCCTACATAGACTCAGAAGTGAACTCTTTATGGGAAGTCAACGACTTCCAAACCTTCCATAAGAGATGGTTCCTTGTAAGTAGGGATTTCCTACCCTTTCCCCAGGCTTCGAAAACGCATGAGCTTGGCCTTGTGTGATATTCCTTTCCTGCCGACCCCATGCGCCCAGTCTGAACGATCCCTCTTGCAGCTGCGTGTCCGCGTGGGCAGCCAAGCGATCTCTCCACTGTACTGGGCACTCAGGAGATGCTACTTTGAGGGCGGACATGGTATGCACCAATGACTGGCTCGCTTGTATGGGGTCTTTAAGTGGGGTCTTGGTGCTTTTTGTGGGATGAACTGGGGAGGCGATACAGTGGTGGTAGGTAAATTCTGTTCAAACATACAAGGCCGTTGCAGCCACAACGCGGTAGACAGGATCATGAACCTATCCAGGCCCAGTCGGACTGGTTAATGGACGCCCCGTGTGACCTCTTTTCGGGACATGGACACCCGGAATCCTTGCTACTACTGTAGTAGCTATTTGCTACTAGTAGTATGGCCAGGAGCCCCGTTCGTAGCGTCCGATCGCTCCGTTCGTAGCGATGCCCGAAATGCTCCGTTCGTAGCGTCCTTGTTTTGGCTTCCTTTGGGTCCATCCAGCACTGCAGTGGAGGGATGCCCATGGGAACATGTACATCGTTCTCGAGCTCCGGAGCTCCTTCAGCGGACCGGCACTGGACCGGCACGATCGTGCCGGTGCGGTCACCAGGTCACGATCGGACCATGTGAAACCATCGGACCGTGGGTGGAAGTTACGGATGCCGGGACAGGAGAAGGTATTCGTTTCAGTTGCTAGGTGTTCAATCTGAAGAAGGAGGACTCCTTGATACTAGTTGCAGAAACATGTTGCTTGTGCAGAATTTGTCTTGTTGTAGACGCTTCTTGTACTCGGCAAACCACCTTCAAACAAAATGTTGAAGAACATTTAAGTCAAACAAATAAGGAAGGCTACTGTCCCATGTGCTTTTGGTCCAGGATGTTTGCTCATTCCATGGCAAACCCATCTTGTTGGTGCTTGTTGGCAAGAAAACACACTGTTTCACGTGTTCCAGGAGCGGTGCCCACACGGCAGCCAAGACCATGTTGGAAGATGTACTCACCATCCGAGCCGACTCTAAGCCTGCTGCAGGGATGTCGTGGAGGGCTGTTTGGTGAAACCCCCATAGCGATGGCCTCCACCCTAATAGCGATGGCCTCCAACCTGGTCTAGAAAGAGTTGGCTTCAGGTTTTTCAAGCTCCAACAAACCATGTGGGTGTGTACTAGGGAGACTGCTGGGTAGACTGGTCCATTTTTTCCGAACCGAACCCGTCCTGTTACCGTGACCGTCTCCCTCTTTGAGCTACACCCATGGCCCATGGCCCGCTTCGAACTGGAATGCCTCGCCTCCTCCACTGGATGGGTGTCCACCGGACGGATCGAGGACCGGGATCGATACTACTACGGCGTCGACCACCTGTTCACGCCGCTCGGTGTCACGGACCACAGCACAGAATCGGACACGAAGATGAGCGACATGATGCGATCATGCGTGCTGATCTGTGCTTATCTGCCTTATGTATCTAGTTTATTTCATATATATATATATACAAATAATATCCACTCGGCCAATCGGAGTTCATCGAATTTCTTTCTGGACATCTGTGTACCCTGCCTTCTTTACTTTGAACACTAATCCACTGTCGTGGCCCAGTGGAGCTGAGACCAAGCAACCTCTTAGGCTGGCAGGGGTTGTGATATCACCAAAACTATCCAAAGCTTGAAACACAGGGGTGACAAGCGAAAAGAAGACATCTGATGGACAGCGTACCATTTTCATGAAGACACTTCGGTTGCTGTTCCACTTCCACACTTGGCCAGTAACGAACTGGATGGAAGTCGTAGGCTCAAATCTTCCCAATGGGATGCTGGGCCTTCGAGCCCAAGTCTTGCTGTCTTGCTTGCGAGCAGTATGGGATGCTGATGGCCACGTCTGCTCTGGGCAATGAGCCCGATCAACGCGACAGTCTGACAGAGTCATTGAGTGTTGAAAGGAGTTCCTCCAAGAATTTGAGTCAATGCTATTCAACCCAGTTTCTTATTTGTCTACTCAGTCTACTCATGTCTACTCACTCACTGCCTACTCGCTCTCGCAAGATGCGGCACGTGTCTTCCTGGTCCTCAGGCATCAGCCAGAAGTGGCGGCAGATTTGCTTCAAGAAGCGCCCAAGTTGGCGAAGGTCCTCCTGGACGGACTCATTTGGCGATCTCACAAGACAGAGGACCGACAACATCGGGACTTGATGCACGGCACATGACAGGCCCTGGAAAGGCCCTGGTGGTACGTGGGACGGACCTGTTCAAACGGTCATGCTTAGGCTCCTGTGCTCGGAGCCGGTACAGTATCCTGCCTCACGGGCGACAGGGAGTCACTGCATCTCTTTACAAAGGACATGCTCCGGAGCAGGTCTATAGATGCTCTCATTCCAGCGCAGCCATACCTGGATGTCTTTTCCAAAGCCAAAGCATGTTGCAGGAGGGACTTCGACCAGTGATCTACTACATGGAACATTTGGTGCAACTCGGATGGAAGGGTGGTCCTTCTTCGAAGTGAACACCATTGGTCCTGCCTCGGCCTTGGGTTCAAGGAATTCCTCTTCACCTGACCGCGTCGAAGTCGGGCTCGCATCCGTGCGTCGTTGCGTCGTTGCGGGGATGAACAGCGAGCTCTCCCACGGGTTCCTTCATGAACGGTCATTCCAACAATCTCCAGGGTGCAAAGCAAGACTTCACGGGGATGCCGAACACCCACAGGCTTCCGTTTGCCACACATGAACACACGATTCCACAGATCGAAACCGAATGGCATAGAAAGGCATAGACCGGCCTTGCTATATCCCTTTTTGACACCTTTTTTCCAAAGACATGCAAAGACCAGTTTATCACTCCAACGCCACCTACCTCCCGAGAATTCGTCGCTCCGACAGGAGTTCCGCAGCTTCGTCGCTCCTAGGCAAGACCCGGACGAGACGCAGATGATCTCGAGAGCCTTTGTGAGCTTCGTTCGCTTCAAGAATCCGGGATTGATTGTCCATCCCATTTTGGTCTTCGTTTCAGATCTGGTCTGGGACAAGTTGGTGCCTTGGAAGCGGCAAGCGGGCTGCCTGGGGATGATTTCGTGCCCAATGTCTATCTCGTTTGGAAGAGATAGACATTGTCATGGATGTCATTGGGCATAGTGTTATTTCCTTGTAATATCTATACTATGGTTGTCACTGCAAGGCGCGGCTGCTTTGAGGGCGTTTTAGGGTGAGAGGGAGCAATGGAGATCCTTCAGAACTTCAGGGTTGGATTATTTTCCGAAAAGACTTCGTCTACGACAGTTCAAGGTTTCGGAGGGTTCAACCGTTCAACCACGTCGAATTCTCCTCGTTCAACCGTCCCTTTGAAGACGAAGATGGAAGAACCAACTGTGATCCGTCCCAAGCCTTGAAAGATGGCTTTTTATCATGTTTTCTCAGGCCTCGACACGAACAGCATGGATGCATGGCGAGTAGCAGCATGCCTGTGACATTCCAGAATCCGACGATGAACAAGGGACTTCAATGAAGCTAGTTTGACCATTCCTCAGCTACCCAGTGGATCGCCTCAGCTACCCTGGACCACGGGCCATCGGAGCGACCGGAGAAGCATCGGGCCATTGGAGACTGAGAACGCAGACGCCGCACGGAGCGACCGCTGATCCTTTCCACCCGGTGAGGCAAGGAGCTACTTCCTGTGGGATCAAATCTTCAGGCGGGACACGTCTCCTGTTGGGTGAACGCCGCGTGGCTTTTCTGAGTGGAAACAGTACTAGTATCAAGGTTCGCTACTAGGGGCTCGTGGCATCGCTACTAGGAGCGATCGGACGCTACGAACGGGGCTCCTGGCCTTACGACTAGCAACAAGAAGCTACTAGGGAATGGATTTTCATGCATTTTCCATCACCCCAGGGTCGAATCTGTTGATTTGTTGCTCGCGCACGAGGTGTTCCGCGCGTTCCGAACGCCTCATCTCGCCTCTGAGGAAGTATCACAAGATCCAGAGAAGTGGAATAACTATATATGCATATGAATCACTTGATATAAAATCGACCGACTTGGGTCATGATTTCTTGGACCGGGATCCGGAACCATGAGAGTTTCAAGACAAAGCGTCCAAGACAAATAAGACAAATCTAGCAGTGTGGCCACCAGGTTTTGGCTTCCCACCCGCATTGACCTCTCCAAACGGAGAGCAAGTTGATTGGACCTTCCAATTTTAAGATAAATGGCCACCATTTGGATGAGTGTTGGTGTTTTTGCTGATGGACTTGGATCTCAGTGTAGACCAAACTTCAGCGTCTGGAATACCGTGCACGTGACGGGTCCATGACATTCAAGCTAAATTGGATCTTTTTTGGCGGGGTGTCTGCCACTCCGTGGGTGTCTGTCAGAGTCTATCAACCCTTGGGTGTCTCTTTCTGTTCTTCCATGTTTTTCCCCACCTGCCAGGTGAAGGTTGTTGGTTTATCAGAGCTGTCCGGTCCCGCCTCCTGCGCCTCCTCCTCCGCCTCCCGGTCCTCAACCGCCAGTGCTAGATCGCAGTGGGCACTGCGCACCAACCGACCTCAACCACGAGTGCCAGCTCGCAGTGGGCACCACGTAGGCGCCGCTGGACCTCAACCGCAAGTGCTAGATCGCAGTGTGCGCCACCTGACCTCAACCGCGAGCGCTCAATCGCAGGGGCGCCATCGAGCCTCAACCGCGAGCGCTAGATCGCAGTGGGCACCAATGTGCCTGAACTGAGCCAGATCGCAGCTGGCACCACTGGATCTGATCCAGATAGAAAGCATGCCAGAAAGATTGTCAGACAATGTGCCAAAAGAATGTCAAAACATACGCAGATAGAGTGCCAGAACGTTTGCCCGGTAGAGTGCCAGAATATATGCCAGATATACTGTCAGAACTTATACAAGAAATACTGCCAGACAAGTGTCAAATGAATATGCCACGTAGAACGCCAGAGTTAAGGCCAGATAGAATGCCGGAACATGTGCCAGAAAGAATCTCAGAATCAACGGCAGAAAGACGGTCAGAAAACATGCCAGATAGCATGCAAAAATATGTGCAAGATAGCCCGAATGCATGCCAGATAGAATGCCATACTATAGTCCAGTGCATATGCAAGATATACACTGTCTTGGTGCTGTTGAAGCAATACAGCTGTCGGTTATCAGCAGACTACAATGCCATGGTGGGGATCACTAGAACAAAAGTCTTTTGCTCCAGTCCAGAAAACATCCCAGACTCCCAGACCCATTTTGCTGATGCACAAGACGAAAAAGAAAACATCATGTAACCTTTTCCACTCAGAGGGCGCTGACGCTTCAGAGAGCAACCGTAGTAAACCTTTCTGAAGGTGTCAAGCCCACTCCTTTAGTCCATCTTGGTCAGACATCCACAATGACGAGGTCGGTGACACCCGAACTTTTCGTTTTGTCCAGAGTTACCCTTGTTCAGGACCTTCGACATGTCCAGGAATCTTAAATTTTTCTGGGAACTTCACCCGACCTCAAGCTTCCAAATCCCACTCGGATGTTTGAATCCATGTCCCCGGGCCCTCGTCGCCTCGTCATCAGTCGAGCCTGACAGGTTGCCCCCCCCCCAATACACACACAAAAAAACACAAAGTTGGAGGTGACATGAGGCGACCGTGTTTCACCCGTGGCTTCGTCATGGTCACAGGTTGGTGAACTTTGTGATCTTTCTCATTTCAGCCTGCGGCTTGGTCAGCACCTGATTGTGAGCCCCTTCCAAATAGGTCAGCATCGGTGCCCGAGTGCCGCCGAACGGATTGGAGACATAGAGTGAGCCACGCTCAAGCGGTCCTTCGACCACGAAATGTGCATGAACAGTGGCGTCGTGTTTTTTTTTCTTCAAAAGATTCAGTGTTGCAGTTGAACTTCCTTCAGTAGTCTATGTTGATAGGGACCTTGATGCGTGACATCTATTCAATCTATTTATCATTGTAATGTATATTATATATCAGTATCGCGGAGATGGAAACCATAAATGGGAATGTTGAGGAAGGCGAACTCGAGACCTTTCATATCTTCCCCTCAACCCTGAACATCCTGAACTCAATTTACCTCCCATGAACCCTCAAGTGCAAACACCGCACTTCAGGTATGTGGAACCGCTTGGGAAGGGGTTGATGGGGCTCTTCCTATGAGCACCTCCCCTCGTTTTTTGGATGCCCTCAGGCTTTATGAACCGCGCCGAAGTCATGCTGGATCCAGTGCAGCTGAGACTGAACATGGACGGAGTCTCCGATTGGTCTTTGAGCAATACCCTCAAAATGGGTCCGCTGCGTTTGAGAAGAGTGGAACATACAAAAAAGGAAGGGGCCATCATCATCGATTGCAGCCACAGAAAGGATTCATTTGGTTTGGGTTTAACTCCTGTTGATCTGTTTGTGACACCCCTCGAACAAGACCATACTCCCCAATAATCGTGCTTTGCTTGGATTTATTGTTAAGCTCACATCGATATGGTATGGTCGCCGTTTTCATGAAATGACTAAGCCCACTGATCCGTTTTCCTGGCGGATTTCGACCACTTAATTGCTTGCCGCTGCCTGGCAGCGTCCGTTGCCACTGGCAACGGCAGGTGGTCCAAGTTTCTCATGGCTGCGAGAGTGTTGGTCTATACCATGGGATTTGGAAAACTCCTGTATTCACACATCTATGAGATGCACAAGGCCTCTGTGCGAAAGGAGCGGGTTTTTTTCGGTGTTGGGGGCGGTAACGAAAGATTGAGGGAGACTTGGTTTATGTTGGTTGCAGCAGATCTCCTATGCAGTCGGGGTTCCTACCCTTCTGAGCCAGGAAAGAGGCTACCTACCCATTGTGAAAATGACCCAGTCTTTGCGCCAACTTGTTTGTGTGCTGTGTCAAGATGTGCTTGATTTTTTCAACAGAAACCAGTGACTAGTGTGAAACGTTGTCCCCTTGCAACCTGCTTGCTATTGCTTGCTGAGCAACGAATTTGCATGGACTGTGCACCGTCATCCTTCCCCTTCCATCCAGTCTGTTCTTTAAACAACGGCGGAGTTCGTTATCTCAAAATTCCTTCGATGGTGCAGACTGGGCCATGGTGAGCGTAAGAGGTGTTCGATGATGTTCGGGGTAGGACTGGTCCAGGCCAGTGACGTTGGTCAGGGTGGTTTGCCAGATTTCCACAGAAGTTGTTTGACGTATACTGACGCGTATACTCAAACTGTGACCCGATCGCGAGGAGTGGAAGCAGATGTTGGGGATTCGGGTGCCAAAGTACCTGCTGAAGACCACGGAGATGTTGAGCTTCTTCTTGATGGTGGATATGGCCTTCATGCTGACGGCGCCATGTTTCATTCGTCAAGTCGGCGGTCTTGGGTGCATCACATGTCCATCGGTACACACCTTCCACATCTTAGTCTCTTTTTCCACATCTTCCCGAACATGTGCCCGGATGTCCTCCCTGATGTCATTTGTCCCCAGCCTAGCTGCGTGGACCTGTCTCTCACGCTGAGCTTCCGCGGACCCTGCAGGCTGAACCCTTGCTCCACTGCTTTGGATATGAGGCAGATGTGGCTCAGCGGAGCATGGAAGGGCGACATGAACAATGGATCAAGAAAAGCAAGAAGGATCAAACAGGATTTAGCATATTTAGCCGTGTTTTTGGATCAACACCCAACAAATACGTTGCCCTTTAAGTTAACCCTTATGACATATATGTCATCAAATGGTTTGGGTCGATGGGTCGCCCAAATTCGCCAAGGTCCTGATCGCTTTCACGTGCGGTGCCTGGACGGATGAGCTGAGCAGCTTGGCGGTGGGACAAAGGAGCTTGGGAGTTGGAGGGAGAAATCATATACTACAGTTACATACATACATACATATATAAATCTAATTAAATCTATGTCTACAATACACCAAGCACTAATTAGATATGTTCAGAAAAAAGGCTCTGATGGGTCTTGTGAAAAACACTGTATAGTTGAGCCCTCTAAGACGAAGGTTTGATGCATTGGAGACATCTATATCTCTCTCTCCATTCCACCACAGGAGTGGCGATGTGCCAGCAACTGTCTCTTTATAATTTTGAAAGGATGATTTGGTAGGTGGACAAAGAAACCACGGAGGTAGCTCCAGGTGACGGTTAAGACTCCTCCCGGACACTCAGTTGATTCCACGGATCTCAGTGTCCCTGGGCCCAACGTTTGGGGCCCACCAAACCCAGCACACGTACTCCTGCAGTACACATACTCGGTGATTTTTCCATTTCTTTTTGTGGAAGGGAATACCAAACGTGATCCAATCCAAGCTGTGAGGGAAAACTCTGCTCTAAAACATTGTCACAAGCTTTGGAAGCTGGGACAAATCGCCCTCGTTTTCCACCCAGGATAGGTTTCCAAACCCAATCTGGCCAAAAGGACACGTTTCAGTATCTTTGGACACTGAAACCAGCCTAACAAAATACATTCAACTGCCGAAGGCACCAGCTGGACAGGTGAGACATGAATTCAGTTCAAGATTGAAAGCATTGGCATCTCCATGGTTCATGTCCTTTAACATCCTAGAAGTGCTGCTGGTCGGTGCACATTTACCAAGATGTTGGCAGCACTTGAAATATCGGACCCATAAAAGACCACGGGAATGGGCAGATCTGACTGCTTCGATCGTAAGCGCCACAGCAAAGACAAATAGTGCACTCCCCACCCTAGCGGCCAAGTTTGAAAGCTTTCATCCTCAAAACAATGGGTCTCTCTTATAGATTTTCCCTTAAAGCAACGCTGGGATTGTAATGAGTGGGCACAGTCCACTCAATTATCTCAATTGGGTTTAGGTCCAAAGACCACATCTTTCTCCCCCCGCCCTGAAGGAAGGTTTCGAGCCACCGTGGCTGCAGAAGGTCACGGCACGCCCTTTCTGATGAAGTCTCATCGTCCACTGGTGCGGTAAGGAGTCACATCGTCCATTCGTCCACCATCCGAGCCATGTTGGGTTTTGGAGGGTAGATCTAGCCTTTGAACATATGGAATCCAAAAGTTGATTCGGCTCAGGCTTCGTGTACCAGTTCTTCAGCATTATGGGGATCTTCCTGCTGCTTGGAAATAGACCGGAGAGCTCTCGGTCAAAGGTTCCACCAAGAAGGGGTAGACCGAGTAAAGGAATTGTTAAGTCCTTTTCTCTGGTGACTGGTTGACTCTCTCACTGCATTTGGTAATATCATGTAAAATTAGTGATGTCTATAGTCATTGTCTTTTCAGGTCAATTTCTTAGAGCCTTAGAGCCTTTGTGGAGATGGGGGGACTCACCGCGATGGATGGCTTCTGGATCCTGCAGGACTTGAAGTCAAGATTGTGAGCAATCACTCACACTCTTGGTGACGTTTATTGTCGTTTTTAGGATAAACTGCAAACGAAAACGCCTCAACCCAGTGATATTCATTTGGAGTTTCACACCAGATTCACCCCAGAGGGATGTTTTGAAATGGATCAACTCCAGTGATCCATTTTCAGTTTTTCCACCAGATGCTCCAAAGGGGGGCTCTGTCAAGAGCTTCCGTCACAAAGCATGTGATGTAGGTGTTTTAGGCCAGCGGATCATCCATGGGGATGGGCATGCTGAAGCGGACACAGGACATTCCACGGAAAGTCTATTTCAACTTTATTGTTCCCTTCCAAATTTCTGTCCAGTGGAACATCACCCGAAGACTTCCGCAAACTGCCTGATGGCGCCCTCACAAGTTGCCCTTGGTCAGGTATGTGGCGCTCATTTTCGGCATTGGCAGCAGCATCTCCATCCAAATTTCGGAGTACCGGGTCTTGTGCCTCCGCGCGGTGAAGCAGGCACATCGAGTTGTTCGAGTCGAGTTGCGGACGGTCGAGTCGAGTCGACTAGCAGCTGACACATAGCGCACGAGTTTGCCAGAATCCCAATTTGCTGGGTAGTTTGTTTGGTTTAGTTATTGATTAACCTTTTATTAGACTGCAACTCCCCAAATGTTTGGTGTGATACATTTTGTGTGGCGTAGGCTTTTGGTTTTTGCACAGGCGAAGCCACGTCGCGAAAGAGTGTATGAAAGGTTAAAACTGAAAGGAACTGAGAGCTACTAGTAGCGTCCTTGTTCCTAGTAGCGATGCCAGGAGCCCCTAGTAGCTTCTTGCTCCTAGTAGTAGGGCCAGGAGCCCCTAGTAGCGTCCGGTCGCTCCTAGCAGCGATCATGAAAGCAATTTGCGAAGCCTTCGGTGTTGTGCCAAGCCTCGCGAAGCCACCCCTTCCACAAATTCTGACCCTGCGAATCCCCATTGTAGGCAACTCAGCAGTGTACAGGCAAACACGGCTCATGTAGCAAGATTTCATGGACATATTAATGTGTATCCCATCTAGCACAATCAAAAACGCAAGTAAATTACCCTGCTTCTCTCCTGATTTTGGTCCTTTATGATCGCTGGATGCACCTGGTGATCAATTTTATGCTTCTTCTTTTTTCCTGCTGGACACTGCTTGCCCCACCCACCTCGCCAACGTCAACGGCCGTTTTTGTTTTTTTTCCGGGACCTCGGGGACAGAGGGGCCGCCAGGTGATGCTTTGCTTCGGGGTCGTGGCCTTGGCGATCTTGACCTTCGCACTCTCGATCAATGCCATGACCCGCGAGGCACGGGATGCGGGGTGTGACTTGGTGGTGTGAAAAAGGTCCAACTGGTGGTGTGGTTGAGCTTCATGAGTTGCCATGGTGCCACTGACTTGTGGCAGAGGATGTTTCATGGTGTCAGTGAGTTTGGTGTCCAAGTCCTGGTTCATGCGAGCTGCGAGCTCTTGAAATTCACACGCCTCTTGTGTTCCCAGTGGCTCAATTCATTGGTGGATGGACTTTGGGATGATCTGAAAATATTGGATATATATCTTAATCCCCCCCCTTGTTAATCTGAAACATTGGCACAGTTTCCAATTCCTGGTCACCTGAGAGTTCTGTTTTCCCCGCGAGCCATGGGCAGGTCCGGAACATCTCCATGAGCCATGCGACTTGATCTGCACAAGCGCAAAAGCGTAGAAGGCGCACAGCCTGCGCGCACGGTGGGCCCCTGGGGCCATGCGAGATGGAGTCCAAGTGGTGTGGGAGTCAGAAGGGACTCACTGGAATAGATGCCGCCCCAGACAGACCCCCCCCAAACACCACCCCAACTGATCGGCAAAGATGGCAGTCCCATTAGTCGTGTCTGGGTATATATTTGCATGGCATGCGATGCCATGAATTGTGTTTCCTTCGTGGGCTGTCTCCAAGGAGTGGAAGGACCTTGGCTCGATCGTGACCAACTTGTTTCAACTGGCCGTTGGCATGCTTGACCTGGAGCCTGGATAGAAAGCGGCATCGGCAGGTTCTGGGGGTTCGCAACAAACAGGGGAAAGCCGCAAAGAACCCCAGGCGGAGAAACGATGTTTGTGGGGGAAGGCAAATCGCGCTGTTGTTTCTCCAGACATGTTCATGACGAGCGTCTTTTAAGGGAGGTAAAGACAAGACGCGATTCCGTCAAAACCTCCAAAACAGGACGTCCACGGTGTGGCCACGACACCCCTTGACTCAGACTGGCCACGCTGGGGGACATGAATCACTCGGAAGAACGTCCGAGCTTCGTGCAAGTCGACGGGTGGCGGCTGAACCGCCGGGGTTCGGAGGTTCGACCCACCTGAGTTTGAACTGAAAGAATGTGGATGAGTGACGGACTGCAGGATTTCCTTTTCGCTTGTTGTTTGAACGATGAACATAAGTACTGAGAGATGGATTGTAGCACCAAACACTCTCCCAAAGTCATTCATTTACAAGCAGCTTGCTGTTTCTTTATTTCTGCGCAGTTAATTTATAGTATACACTATACACACAAAACATGGAGGAGCATTGTTTGGCATTGTTGCACACCCCCTGAAATCGAAGTGAAAAACGTCCACCTGTTTGGTATTCCGATTGCGTCATCCGAAATCGAGGCCATGCCATCCACGTAACCATGATTGTTTACAGGGAGTGCTTAAATAGCGAGACCCCGTGACCCAATGGATAGATAGGCCATTGTTTCAAGGTTGGAGGCCATTGCCTATTAGGTATCTTTTGCCATTAGGTTGGAGGCCATCATTGGTTTAGTACCTGGCTGATACGCAGCCACGCAGGTGGACAATCAAAAGCTCGTGATGATTCCAGGGAGCGTAGCATTATGTCTGCCAGACCCCTTTATTCTAGAAGCAAACAAACCAAAAAAAAGCAATCACAAATTCAACCAGAAAAACAAAAGCAATCATAAAAGCACAACAAGAGCAAAAAAAAGCAACTCCAAAATGCAGCCAGGCAAACAAAATCAATCATAAAAGCAAAAAAAAGCAAACAAAATTGCAAGCAACGATGGAACAACTCACGTTCTGGCGCACTTTTGGGGGAGGGTCCACTTTCTGACGCACTTTTGGTCGCTTTTTTTCCTTTTTTTTCCCGGCGCCGGGTAAAAAGTCGTACTTTTGGTCGCGTTTTTTCGCTCCTTTCGAAATGAGTGACCAAAAGTGTGACTTTTTACCCGGCGCCGGAAAAAATGGAAAAAATACGACCAAAAGTGCGACATTTGACCCGGCACCAGAAAAGACCCTGGTCCAGTACTAACCCTACCCGGCCCCCCCCAAACTACCCTCTTTGTTTTGCTTGTGCTTTTTTGGTTTGCTTTTTTTGTGTTTTTTTTCAAGATTGATGATTTCTAGAATAAAGCCACCTCTGGTGAACATAAGTGTAGCAGTTCTTTCGATTTTGACTCGCAAAAATGACAAGGATTCTCTCTTTAACCTGGTTTTGCTCAAGGTGATTTGTTCATTTTCCCTATGGTGAAGTCCCCTTCTGGGGAATATTCTTTAAAGCAAATCCAAGTTACCTGGCCGAAAGCCCGCCTTGACGAGGAAGTCCTTGGTCACATGGCCGACGAGAGCCCCTTTATGCTGATGGCCTCTTGGCGTCCAAGGGTGCGTAGGAGCGCGTTTGGGTGGGTTGGTAGGACATGTAGGGACCCACCGCATTGGAGTGCAGGAATATAGCGCGTGACTTGACCTCCAGCCGATAGGGTGTTTAGGACCACTTGATTTGGAAACCAGTTGCGGAGCTTAGTTGAAGTAGATGTTTTACTGGTCTGAAAAATGAAGTAAGTGATTAATTACTAGACTAGTGATTCTTCTTTGATGGAATGAATCAGATGTTTGCTTTTGCAAGATTTAATTGTGCCGGCACTGCGGGTTCCAAATCTGCGCCGCACCGATACACCGATACACCGATATCCCCCACCAATAGCTACCCCCAGCCACAGGATATCGGCTTATCGGCGGCGCACCGATATACGCCCCGATATCGGCGTAGCGGCGCCGCGCGCTAAAAACCCGCCACGCCGGCATGCTGCAAGATCTTTTTTTGCTTCAAGGTGCTGTATCAAGATTGATATTCGCCTGTTGTTAACAGATTGATCCCATGATTCTCTTGCGTGTGGCAGGCCATCTCTAGTTCTGCCAAGCGTTTTGCTAGTGGACTTGACCATTGCATGTTTCACCATTCCTTCAAGCAAAAACTCTGTGTTCTGTGCCAAAGTACCCATCACTCTTCTCCTTCAGATCCCAAGTTCTGAGGTCCTGGCTGCGTTCATGCTGTTGGTCTACACCTTCTTCTTCAACTTGTTGATCTCGTGCCCTGACAGAGCTTTTTTCACCGGCGCACTTTCCTCCAGCCCCGCGTGGACACCGAGGCAGTTCTGTGGGGTCCATTCGGCCCTGGCCAAGGACAGCGAGGGCCATGCCCGGCTGTCGCGAGGAGAGGTGATCTTGGACACATTGAAGGCGAGAGCGGGAACTCGGCAAATGATCCGATTGACCCATTGAACACGGTCAAAAGCTCTGTAAGTTCATAATATATTATAGGCCTAGGGGATAACAAGTGGATGGCATTTCTGCCTCATGCCGGAGCTCTTCATGCCGTTGACTCGTTATCCCCTATATCATATCATCATTATGATGAGTTTCGACCAGATTTTCCACTTCGAGGCATCTCCTACTTCAAGCATCTCCCCAATAGCCACGAATACGTACGAAAACCAAATGGTTGAAGCCCCCCTGCAGCATGTAAACATGGGACGTGGAAATCCAGACCCAGACCTCACCCGGAATCAACGAGCGAATCCGGTGCTGCGAAACGAAGACGAGAAAAAACCGTTTCGCCGGGACGAGGCAGTGCAAATGAAACGTTGGAAGCAGCAGCCTGGTCAGCACTGATGCTTTTTTTCCCGATCTCACGTCTGAGAATTCAAGGATCAGAGGATTGTCACTTCATCCAGCAGTTTATTTGGTATCAAGTCTCATGTGGATCAGGGAGGATTTGCTTTTGTAGGCTGTCAAGTGACTTCGGACGTTAGATTCAATCGAATCAGCGAATCTCTGTCGTCCCCTGATCTCGGAGGATCTCACGCAGACTGACCGTGTCACCCACACTGGTCAATGGTGGGTGTCTCCTGTCCAGTCACCACAGCACTTGCCCCTGCCCACGTGTAGAAACGAACGTGTCCGGAACCGCCTCGACTCTCCGACCTGAAACCTCCATGGACGGAGAGTCCGAGAGAGAGAAAGCACCGTCCGGTGCCCAAACGGTGTCATCGCACCCTCCGGTGCCCCGAGGTTCGTGACCTCGTTGGCCTTGGAGAAGCGCGTGGACTTCGCCGAGGGCGACATCGGTCTGCCGGGAGGCGCCCTTTTCTCGTGACAGGTGTGGAGGGTGTGGCGAGAAAAACACATATAGATACCAGGTTCCAAGAGGGGCTTTCTTGGGTGTGATGTGGCCACAGATCAAATTATTCATCATGGTTCTGGAAGAGAACCAGCTAGTCTCTAGAGTCTATAATATAGATGATCTTGGACCATGATGGAACACTGTTTGGTTGAGGATTTTTTTACGTGGGCTCAGATTCTTGATTGTTCTTTTCTTGTCCTGCAGCAAGTGACACAGGGATACACAGAGGACATTCCAAGACTCTATTTAAGTAATTGGTCTAGTAAGTCTATAGTAGATTCAAACTCTGGTGGAGAATGTTGTCCAGAAAGAGTATTGACGGCCTGTTGATGGAATGCATAGTCAGTAGGAAAGAGGATTGCCATTTCAATTACATGTTGTTTAGATTGGTTACCCCCCCTGTGTGTAGAGCTAAAGACTTTTAAGCGACAAACCCAGAGAGACCCACACACACCAACATCAACAATACACAAACACTACTTCAAAGCGCCACCACGCACGGTTTTCAACGCCGTGCGGCGTTGTCGGTCGCCGTCCGAGCGGTCCGAGCAATCCGAGGTCTCAAAGTCTTTGAGCCCGCAGGAGCCAATCCCAAGACACAGGAGCCTGCAGCGAGCTCCGGTGGAGGTCTTTGAGCAAACGACTGAGGTGATGGTTTTTGTTGGATGGGTTTTGTTCTGACGAAGACAGCAATGCAGCAATGCACTTGAAGACCTTAAATGCCAAAAGGGATCAGATATGATAATTAGATGAGAGGTGGGGGTAGATCTAGAAGACATTGCCTTCGCTTTCGGACCTTAGACTGGATGCATGGGGTGTTGGTTTGCTCCGGGTGAAGCTGGAATCCGCAGTGGGTTGAAAGGACAGCAATGAATTTTTAACACATATAGGACCTCACTGCAAAATGGTGCAAGTGAAAGTATAGCAAAATGCAATGTTAACCACCCGAAACGGGAGTCATCCGGGAATGGGCCATTAAACGAGGAATGATACCGCCCAAGCCATAACAACCCAAAACGGGACATGATGGCATCCGTAAGCAACACACGCGACCATATTTTTTATTGCTGGAGCCATGAGAGACAGGAAAAAAGAGAAGACACATAGACAAAGAGATAAATATAACACAGGACAAATGTAAGAATGAGAACCGGCATGAACGGGCGATGGGAAGTGGAGAACATGCGCATGTTTGCAGCATTCGAGGGTTTTGAGGTTTTCAGGATCGTCTTGGACTCATATCCAACGTTCTTGCCCAGGGTTTGACGTGCCATCTTACAGTGAACCCCTCTTTAATATGGCCATTCCTTTCAGGAAAAGGCCTGGATCTACCATTTTTTGGTATTTTATTCTTTCAACGGAATTGGGCCGTTGGTGCCGCTGCTTTCCTCCAGGACCAGATCATCCGTTTTGGAGGACATACGGATCCCTCCTTGCCGTGGCCCGAGAAGCATCATGATGAGGGCAACAGTACGGAGAAGAGCCTTGGACGACGGGGCGTGGGTAGTGGAGCAGAGGGCGAGTTCAACCGAGCATTCAATATGGTCCCTTTTACGCAAGATGATGTTGTTCGATATCGCTTTCCACAACTCGGATGTGTTTTTTTGTCTTTTTTTTGTCTTCGAGTCTTCTGTCTTGCTTTTGAAGAACCAAAACCGAGAACCAAAACCGATGTTCTTTGTATAACCGCGAATAATTCGTCCAAGGAAAAACAAAATAGCCCTCGACCGACAACCCACTGACCAGCCCTGCGTTCCGCCAGGTTTGTTTTGGGCGAGGCCTGTACATAGAGAGATTCATCCAAAATGGGAAACTCTACGAACTTGAAGGCACCATGAGTCCTGTAGAGATCTCTGGAGGAATTCTTGACGTTTCTGTTTGCACGCTGTTGGGACGCTCTCCACAACAAGTTCTCCACTTTCCCCTTTGATTCCCGTGGTTTTCGTGGGTTCGGTGCAACCGAGGTCATCCGAGGTCACTCTTCACACGAGGTCAGACGAATCGGTTCGCCACAGAGACGCGACGTTTTCCATGTGAACTGGGCCAAATCGATTTCCCCCACCACCGGGGCATCCAGTCCTACCGGTTCGCCATCCACGGTCTCAGGATGATCCAGAAGACGCCACTTGGCACACGAAACGCGGACCAACCGACTTGAGCCGGTCTTCGTGGTGGGACACCCCGGTCAGACCGGTCGTTGGGTGGCTTGGCTATGGAGTGATGTGTTGTGTCAGCTTCCCAGTGATGGAATGCAATGGAAGTTGCAATGGATACTGGCATGATCGAAGGATCGAACATCAAGATGGCTTGTACCATCTTGCATCCCAGCTTAGCATTGACATAGATACAGATACAACATATTTTATATACAACATTGACAGTGGTTCCCCGGGAACATGTACCATGCATGTTGTTGTTTCGATGTCAAGTTTGTTTGGGGTCTTGAAGTTGCCGCATCAATATGCATTAGAAGGGAAGAGAATTCCGGGCTAGCTACCGCAGTGACCTACTGTTTTTTTCCCTCGTGGCAGATCCACCGCTCGATTCCTCTTCCGGAACCAACCGCTCATGGTGGCTCCCAAATGAAAGGAATCCTTCCGCTGGCGGTCCTCGGTCGTCCTTTGGATCTGTCTCGAGGATCCAGAAGTCGCTCCAGCACTATTTGGGCAAGAAAGGTGGCACTGACAGTGACTTTACGCCGCTGGGGCTGGAAGGCTTTGCTGAGAGGTTTGATGTGGAGACAGGAGAGATCCTTTGAGATCCTTTGAGTCAAGCGTTCGCGGATTGACCTCACTCACTGTACTCTTTGACCCCATCTTTTTTTGGGGGGGGAGGCTTGTACTTACTGTACTCCAGGGCAGTGTTCAAGGGCGCTTCCAATCTGAGACTCCAGACTGCGGGCAGCTCCCAAAAAAGGATGGCAGGAGCTGCTGATGTGACCTTTTTCAGACACTCCCAATTGGCGCAAAGCGGTGGGTTTGCACCTTTTTGCAAAGCGGTTGGTAACAATTTGAATCACCCAAGCAGCGCTCCTCTCAATCAAGCCGTCGTTGAACTCGAGCCGAAGGTGCATTCGAAGTATTTGGGCATGTCAATCTTGTTCGCCCCCCATATGCCCCAATGGGAGGTTTTTCGTCCATTTTTCCAGCCAGGGGTGTTTTGAGACCCCTTGACCCACATCTTTTTAGTATCTTTGGGCTCCGGATGGTCGATGGCTCCCGTCTTACTCCTCGCAAAGATATTGGGAGTGTCACAGCAGCATGACCGTTCCCAATTCTGCGACATGTAATATGTTGACATAGTATGTAATCATGTCATATCATCTATACATCACATATATTTATATAACATACACCCTTAACTTAAGTATCTATAGTCTGTGTGCAAATCATAAGTAGGTATATAGGCTCGTGATCGTTCAACCCTCAAGCCATAAAACCAACCCATCCCAGAACCCAAACCCACACCGCCCGTATGTCGGATGATGTCGTGATATATAAATGTAGTCCCCATGGGTGGATGCCTATACATAATCCATACATACATATACGTATAATAGTACTTTTTAAATAACACATTTTTAAATACAGTATATAAATTAACATACACATATATATATATACATACAGTTTCCGGAGAGCCTAGTACACTTGGATATGACATTTTTTTTTTTTTTTGGTTTTCCTGCAACATTTGCGCCTAAGACTCTGGACAGATCTTTCCCTTGGGTGCCATACTTTTGCACGGCTTCATCTGAGGCTGAGTAGCAGCCATAACAGCAGCAGCCGCAATGGAGGAGATTAAGCCTAGCAGTTGCGCCAGACTTTCTGCAGATTTTGAGCTCTGCTGTACCCCTTCACCAACTCAATCTCAAAACGAGGACTCCCCTTCAAGATGGTGATTGAAGAAACCAATGAACCAGATTGTCTTAGAAGGGCGATCTTCCTTTTGAGCGGAAGCGGATGCCCCTCGCCCAGTTGGAAATTGGGTGACGCCCTGTGTTTCGGCTCGCTTCATTTGAGAGTTTGTGGGAGGGTGGGGCATTCCTTTGTTTCCCTCGCCGACTCTCAGCTGCTCCAACCGCTGTCATGTCCTGGCAAGGGTGGTCGAGGGATGCCGGGTACAGAGCGAATTCAGGGATGCTTAGCCATCGACTTCAGCCACTGAAAGAGGCATTGGAGCAGATCGATGACCCACTGCCACCAGTGTGCACCAGTGGCAAGTTTTTCGTTGGCCTCGACCCATTATGTTGAAAGGTAATACTATATATATATATATATTCCCCCAAACGTATCTTGGCGCTGTAGGAACTCCCTGAACGGCTTGAATCGAAGTTTGTGTTGTATTCTTTGCGGTGGACACACTTTGAATTGGTTGTTTGAACGCCCTGGAGAAGACTGGCCATGGGCAGCTCTCCTGCTCAAGCACATACACAAAATCTTTGAGATCCTCAGAATACATGATGTAGGGGCTTGCAGGGAAACGCAACAAAGAGTGCCAACAACAACAACACCAACAACAACAGCAAACAACATGAGTCTTCCCCAGCTTGAAGAAATATTTTAAGCAACAGAACACCCGGCCTTTACATGGTATAGATAGAACCTGTTCTCTTCCATTTGTTTCTTCTGGAGCTGAGATGTAGATGGTCCCTGCAAAGGAGTAGCACTGTGTGTGTGTTCCTGATTCTCGAAATAACATTAACAGAATTCAAGATGTCAGAATCTAACAGACCACACACAAAAGATTAGAGTATTTCAGCAACAAACACATCAAGCAGCAGTGTGATTCTTTGTGCTCCCAGTGCTGTGTTTCACAAAATTCTGACATTCCCACTTTTTTCTCCCAAAACGGAACGACTCCACGGCCTTGATATCTTGGTTTGCCTTGATTCTGGCATTCGCAACATCTGCTCAACGCGTTCTTCGGTGGTTGTGTTTCAGTTTCAATTGCCAAGGCCTAAGGCCTTGTTCATGTGCAGACCAGCGCGACCTGTAGTGATTGCCTGCGACTGTGGGAAGGGACCTATGCTCCCTTCCGGGGGTGTTGTTGACAACGAAGCGAGGCTTCAAAGCACCAAGTTGCCGCTCATGTCTCGGGCCGAAATCCGCCTGGTGAACTTTGGGTGAAAGGATACAAGAAGCTACTAGGGGCTCCTGGCATCGCTACTAGGAGCAAGAACGCTACTA